ATATGCGTACCTGCAGGTACTGGCTGACTGCAAAGATGTACGGGAATGTTGCTTGAAGAGACGTTGGGATGGATGCATTGTTGAATCTCTGCAATATAGAAAGGCAGCATGGGAACATCAGAAAACAATAAAATCATAACAAAATATATAGAAATATGGTTTCCAAGTCAAATGCTTACCAACATGGTTAGATTCTGAACCAACAACTTATGATCATACGGAAGATGAACGCTGGCCCTAATTCCCATCACACCTACGCTAGTTTTGCCTGTTATGCCATAGCCAATTTGGAGATATTTAGATTTAACAACAAAACAGAAAACTCAACCTAAAGAGAGCTAAAACTAAAAGAGGTATTTAGCTACCCTCATTTTTGAGCCCAACAAGGAGCTCAGTCTCTTCTCCAGCTGGAACCACTGCAGGAAACAAAGAGCAATAAAAACAAAATCTTTAAGATCACAACAATCAAGGGATAGATAAATACGCGACGAAGGAGCAAAGACATACATTTGGCACTGTTTTTGGGGAAAACACAAACAGTCTCAACTCCTGGAAATGAGGACAAGTTGATATCCAAATCGTGGTCATCTTCCTCAACGGCATCATCACTGTTTTCTCCCACAACATCATCAACAAGACTGGAATGATCCTCGGCATCCGATTGACATCTAGCAACTGATCAAAGAAACCAAAACAAAGAACCCATCAGGTCAAAAAGTTTCTGCTAAAACCATAACGTCTTCTTCTGAAAAGGTTACAATTTGCAAATTATCCTCTATCAGCGAGTGCAGATTCCAGAAAAATAAAGACATGCACGAAGACACTATTGATTGAAGAATCTATTACTTGGGAATTCGATCTACATTTGAAAGTTTGTCTCTTTGAAACCACATTGCTCTACGATAATACACAAAACACAGTATCGTATAACGAGCTCAATTTCACTCGGATCGATGAATAAAGAACGTAACGTTCTCCGGAAACAGGACCAGATCCTTTGAGAGACCAGATCGGAAACAGAGATCAAATGTGAAATTCAATTCGAAACAAAACGGATCTAGATCTACAAAATCCATGGAAAACAATAAGAGAAGAGAGAGCGACCTTGAAGCAGAGGAGATGCAAGGAGAAGGAGAGCGAGGAACAAAACCCTAAGATTCATCATCGCTTGCTTCTATCAAAATTGGTCAACGAATTTGCTAATGAATGAGAGAACAGTGTCTCTCTCTCGATGCTATTTATGCTTTTGCTCTTTCTCTAAATTAATTTATTTCTGCAAAAAAAAAACACGAATGCAAGTGACCATAGAAACTCGAAAGCGACGTCGTTTTGTCTGGTCTCTCAATTTATATCATGTGATTTTCTTACCTTATAATATACTCCCTCCGTATTTTAATAAGTGTCGTTTTAGAATTTTTATTTTTTTGAATTGGATGTCGTTTTCAAATTTCTATGCAAAATTTATTACTTTTTAACGTTTTATGACATCATAAAACATTAAAAAGTAAGAAATTTTGCATTGAAATTTGAAAACGACATCTAATTTTAAAAAAAAGAAAATCCTAAAACGACACTTATTAAAATACGGAGGGAGTACATCAGGATTCACAAATTAGTTTCTACAACATTCTTAATTTGTGTTCTCATTATAATCAGAAGATCTCACACCAAATTTTCATATGACATGAAAAATCACAAAATTTCTATGATTTTAAAAGGAAAAAAAAACAAGAGTGTAATGGTACATTGAGGGAAGAAGAATAAGCATTAAAAAATGCCATGAACATTCCACTACTATTACACCAAATCTGATTAATCATGTCAACAAAGCGATCCATCAAAAGCATCTTCTGCTCCAACATCAATCTCCATGGACTGTGTACCGTTCCCATTTCTTTGTCGGGTCGTAAATCTGTACAGATATAATGCAAAAATGATTAGATTCAAAGTCTAGCTGAGAATGAAAAGTGCAGAGAAAAAGGTGATTTGGGAGTTACCTCCCATCTCGAAGCAGGGAATATATGCTTGTTCTTCTCGTACCAATGCCTCTCCACTACTTTACCCGCATGCGACTTTAATAACACCACATTTTACAAAGAAGCTTTAGAAACAACTTCTCATCGTCAAGACCTACTCTCTTTTCTCATGTAACTGGGTCAGGAAAACATACCTCGTCTTTCTCTATCGTTGCATCTGCTATTGTTCTCACGTCTTCATGCACATCAAAGTGAAACAGCTGTTAACAAGAACAGTGTAGAAGGAGTGAGTCTCAGTTACAATTTCTATATCAACTGAATTCCAAAAAAATGTCGACAAGGCATACCGGCCCACTCTTCCCCCTAGCTTTGTTAATGATCAGCTCATAGAAACTGTGTTGCTACATTTGCAAAAACAAAATCCCATGTTATCACTAAGTTCTATATAAAGAAGGGAGAATAACTTGATAAGTTTAAAGGGTTCTCACATGTGGGATAATAAGATCTTCCTTTACATATAACAAATTCTCCACTGATGCTGTCCGAATCTCCCGGAAGTCAGGGGCAAGCTGCTGTTGAACAGCCCGTAGGAAATTTCCAATCGGGTCACCCTTGCGGACCTGTAAAAAGGGTATATCATAAAGGTAAGTAAATGATCAGACGTAAGGCTCAAGCAGTATGACAAAGATGTAGTTTGTGCTTGCCTGGATAACTCGTCTATGGCCAGTCCCATCCCAATAACTGTAAGTAATCTCAAGAGGCTCATCTGAAAAAAAAATATAGTTAGACAATCTTCCTTGAATGAAGGGTTACAACTGAAATTTTAGAAGTAACTAGAAAATGGACAACTTTTAATCTGCTCTTGTTCACGAAGCCACTGCTTCTTCAGCCTTTCACGTTCAGCTTGTTCCTCCGCCTCCCGCTCACTGAAACAGCAACCTCAAAACACCACAGCTAAAGTTGAGACTTACTGCAAAAGCATACAGGGAAGATAAAGGTAAACAAGAGAGCTAGAGATCACCTGTCAGGCAGGAAATTAGTTTCCACTGAGGGGTCCTTGCCAAGTTTTCCGCAGCGTAAGTTCACTGTCCCAGAACTCTCTGCATACATAGAGTACATGGTAGAAGTTACAAAGAGGACAACATTAGATGACATATGAAATTCCTATGCCAGCAAGCTATTTGCATCTCAAAAGCTCCAACAACCAAGCAAGACTACAATCTACAATTGTAGAATTAATGTCTCTAATACATGATGAGATTCAGCAAAAGATAGAGATCATACATTTTCAACTTCTACACAAAAAAATAAAATAGATTTCATTATTTCTGCAAAAGATAGATACTTTTTCAACTTCTACTCAAAAAGGAAACACGTTATTGTGGTTTAATTGAATAAAGCATGTATCACACCTAATCCTAACTATACCACAATTCACCATTGACGTAACAACAGCATATTCAGGAATCAAGGTAAAACTTAAGAAAATCTAATAAGAAGGGTCCAGGTAAACTAACTATTTTCTCCATCATCTTCATCACTGCCATTCTCAAAATCTTCAGCAAAAGATAAGCGGGAAGATCCCTTAATCTTTCTCTTCTTGTTACGCTTCTCTAGCTGCAACTCCTCTTCCCTGTAGTTCAGAAACAAAGTCAATCAAGAATCCTAAAAATAACATCAATCAATAACTATAAAGAATGAACTTACGAACAAAACTCACTCTTGCTGTAGCTTCTGCAGTTTCTCCTTCTCTTCTTCCTCGAACTTATTACGAATATTAACCCTCTACATATATCACGGACAGAATTAAACACCCACAATATAGAAGACTGTCAAAAATTGAAGGATAAAGTGGCCAAGACTCCAATTACCTTCTCAACATACTCCTCTCTTGTAACTAAACCCACTGTTTCCTTCTTGAAAGCAGTGTCAAGAATCTAACCAAAGTAAAAAATTAGTCACAGCCCAAATGTCAAGTAAACATTTGTGATTCGTAAACACCAAAACTCAAGCAATGATGATCTAATCTTGTTCTCTGATACTTGTAAAGAACTAATCGTTGTAAATATACTAAACCCTAAATATTGCGGAACAAGTTCTAAATCTAGTTCCTACAACAATCCACCATCAGAGGTATCTGTATATAGTTGGTGATCAGAGGGGATATTGATTGGTTCGAACCTCGCAAGAGCTGGTGCCGAATTGGAGAAGACCAGATTGGTCTTTGCCGGAGGCAGACTTGCTCTTGAGGTCTTGGATTTTTTTACGCTCGGCCTCTCTTTGCTTCTGAAGCCGCCGTATCCTCACCGCATCTTGAGCCGTACCAACGTAACCGTCACCCATACCCGACATCTTTCTTTCTTTCGCTCAAAATCGGAATCGGAATTTCACAAGATTCTTCCGACCGCCATTGTTGAGAGAGATAAAGAGCTCTTTTATGCATGCTTGTGTTCTTTTTGGGCTTCTAATGGTTTCTTATGGGCCTTTATATATTTTATCGGCCCAGATATTGGGCTTATCTGAAACACAATCTACTTTTAGGTTGATTTTACTCAATCAATTGATTATTTTTATTGAACAATCTTTTCACCACCAAATTGTACAAAAGTTTGACTAATGGTGTCACAATCTCGTTATTAATGTCACTACTAAGCATTATAAATGCAAACTTGTAAAAATAACCTATTTATTAGAGATTTCTTATGAATGATTGTTGTCCCCTAAAAAGTAATGCACAATACATGGAACTCATGATAACCTATAGGACGATTAGACACACCATCTACAAAATCATGCTATTTATTATATGTTTTTGTTTATTCATATTTTTTGTTTTAATTATTTAATCATATAGATCTTTTTATATTAATCATATAGATTTTATTACTTAGTTTTATAAAATGCGATCGATGCATATAAACAGTCGAAAGAGATGCCCACTCTAAAAGTTGAAAATATTTCCTCTCTCCTGCGATTTCTCTCTCCCTCAAAAGAGAAAATTGACGTCATTCTCAGATCATCTCCGGCGTCTCTCACGGCGTCGGATTCCGCCGCCATTCTCGCCTCCCCTCCTCATGGGGAAGAGTAAGAAGCCTAAGAAGAGGTCCGCCGGTTCTCGGTCTCCTCCCGTGCGGAGCTCCTCGTCTCCGGTCCCTCATGATTCTCCGTCTGATGAAGTCTGCACACTGTCGGCCCCGGGTTTGCCTTCGTCCTCTTCTCATCCAAAGAATGCCTCAGCCGTCGTCCAAGGGACAGGCTCATCCATTGTAGTAGATCCAGTTGTTAGTCATCCAGATCTGGTCCAGATTTGCGCCGATTCTTCGCCTCTGGTCCCAAGTGATTCTCAGGTTTTGCCTGCTCCGGCGACTCTTCCAGTTAATGCCTCAGCCACTGTCATAACGACAAGCTCAGCCATTGTTAGAAACCTTGAAGTTGGCTCGCCAATTTTAGGTCAAACCCCTGTTGTTGATTTGATTCAGGTCGACAGCGTCTCAGATCCTTTGTCAGTCTCCAATGGTGGAGAGGTTTCAAAGGAAGAGAAAGTTCCCACTGTCCCCATTGTCCCCGTTGTTCCCTCAGCAGGCGATTCATGGGTGAATTTATTCTCTGGCCCCTCAACTAGAAGCTTATCAAAGAAAGGTAAAGCTTTTGTTCTTGAATCAGGAGAGTCTTGCGTGAGAATTCCTAATTCTGTCATCCTAAAGAACCAGAAGTCTTGGAAATCCTTTATTATTGGGCAATTTTATGCGGATCCTCCTCCTCAAGCTTTGGTCCACACCATTGTAAATGGGATTTGGAGCAAGCATTTCAAGGACATTTCGGTCTCGCGTATGGAAGGAAATGCTTTTCTCTTCCGCATCCCTAATGTTCAAACTCGTCGTAGAGTCTTAAATCAGAGGCTATGGCAAATAGATGGACAGACTATGTTTGTTGCTGACTGGGAACCGGGAGTGGTGCCCGTGAAGCCTGAACTAACCTCTGCTCCTATTTGGCTTGAGTTGAGAAGTGTCCCGTTTCAGTTTTTTAATGAAGAAGGGCTGGAGCGTATCGCGAGTTTGGTAGGTGACCCGAAGTGCCTCCATCCCGACACAGCAAACAAATCTAACTTAGAAGTGGCAAAGGTGTTTACTATAATTGATCCAAGGAAGCCTTTGCCAGAGGGAGTAAATGTTCAGTTCGAATCCGGAGAGATTAGAAGAATTCTTGTCTCTAGTCCTTGGATGCCTCCGGTCTGCTCTCACTGCAAGTTGATTGGGCATAGTGTGAAGAGATGCAAGACTGCTCCTATTACCTGCAAGAGTTGTAAATCCACTAGCCACTCTGCAGCTTCTTATCCAAGGATTACAGGCAACGGAGCTAGGAAGCCTTCAACAGCTAAAGCTTCTGCTCCTCTTCCTGCTGCTGGAAGTGTCCCTCAGAAATCTTTAGCAAAACTCCCTCTTTTGAAGGTTGGGAGTTCAAAGCAGATTTATGTTGTCAAGGAGAAGCCTCACAGTCAGCCAGAGGGCTCCAAGTATGCCTTGTCCCCAGGCGGGTCTGCCAATCCGCTTGATAAAGGTAAAGGAAAAGTAGATGAGCTCTCGGGGAAGGAGCTTGTCTCCGAGGCTGAAGCAGACTCTTCTGATGCCCCTTCTAGTGAAGAGGTTGATGACGATTATGAGTCTGAAGAAGAGCATGAGTATCTGGAGGTAGTTTCAAAGAGAGATCGGAGAAACTCCCGGGGCATGGCCCCCAAATTCCAGTAATTGTCTATGTGTAGAGACATTTTTTGTTGGAACGTCTGCGGATTCAATAAGCAATCACACCGTAGCGGATTCAAGAAGTGGTTTCATAGTAATAAACCCTTTTTTGGCAGTCTCATAGAGACGCATGTTAAACAGCAGAAGATGAGGAAGTTTATTAATGCCCTCCTGCCTAGCTGGTATTTTGATGATAATTACGCATTTTCGGATTTAGGAAAAATTTGGATTCTTTGGCATCCAAGTGTTAAGGTCGTCATCCTTTTCAAATCTCTTCAGATGGTTACTTGCGAGGTTCTCTTACCGGACTCTTCTTCTCCGGTCATTATCTCTTTTGTGTATGCTGCAAATGATGAGGCTTCCAGAAGCGTTCTTTGGAATGACATTGTTACTCAAGCTTCTAGTCCTTCTTTGGTTGGTAAAGCTTGGGCAGTTCTTGGGGATTTCAACCAGATACTTACTGCTTCAGACCATTCTGCAAGGACAAGCCTTAATTTGGACAGAGCGATGCGAGATTTCAATGACGTACTCCTGCAAACCAGTTTAATGGACCTGAACTTCCGAGGCTGCACATTCACTTGGTGGAACAAAAGGTTAGCAAACCCTATCGCTAAGAAGATTGATAGGGTCTTGGTAAATGATGAATGGCAGGTGCTCTTTCCGACTTCAATGGGCTCTTTCGACCCTCCATTATTCTCTGATCATTCTCCCAGTTGTATCATTCTCAACTCTGCCGAGCCGAGACAGAAGAAGCCTTTTAAGTTCTATAATCTTTTGCTCAAAAATCAGGACTTCTTGCCTTTGATTACTCACAGCTGGTTTTCTATCAATGTGACGGGTTCCGACATGTTCAGAATCTCTTTCAAGCTTCGGGCTTTAAAGAAGATCATCAGGGAGTTTAGTAAGTTAAATTATTCAGACTTGGAAAAAAGAGTTCAGGAATCTCTTGCTGTTCTCTCGGCTGCGCAGACTCAGATGCTCTCAAATCCTTCTCCTTCTAATGCTGCTCTTGAATTAGAGGCAAACAGGAAATGGGAACTGCTTTCTACTGCTGAGGAAAGCTTTTTCTACCAAAGGTCTCGGGTTACATGGTTTAAGGAGGGTGATAAGAACTCCGCCTATTTTCACAGGATGGCCTCTTCTAGGCAGGCCATAAATCACATCCATTTTCTTCTGGATGATGCTGGTAACCGTATTGATTCTCAGACTGGTATTCATGCCCATTGTGCTGATTTCTTCGAAGATCTCTTGGGTGGTGACGTGCCTCCTGCACTGTTTATTCAGAGTGATATTGACACGCTATTGGGTTTTCAATGTTCTTCATCTCAGAGAGACTACTTGGGTGCAGATTTTACTCTGGAGGAAATTAAGGACGCTTTCTTTTCACTGCCTAGAAATAAGACAAGCGGTCCTGACGGTTACTCGGCTGAATTCTTTGTTAGTTGTTGGAGTGTTGTGGGTCACGAGGTCTCTTCAGCAATTCTGGAATTTTTCAGGTCTGGTTCCCTTTTGAAGCAATGGAATGCGACTTCTCTGGTTTTAATTCCTAAGATCCAGAACGCATCTAAAGTTTCTGACTTCAGGCCTATCTCATGTCTAAATACCCTTTACAAGGTTATTTCAAAGCTCATGGCTAACAGGCTGAAGTCGATTCTGTCCGAGGTGATATCTCATTCTCAATCTGCTTTCATGCCCGGTAGATTGCTGTCTGAAAATGTATTGCTTGCCTCGGAGATAGTTCATGGTTATAATAGAAAGAATATCTCCCAGAGGGCCATGTTAAAGGTAGACTTAAGGAAAGCTTTCGACTCCGTTAGATGGGATTTTGTTCTAGCCACTCTTAAAGGTTTGAAGATCCCTGAAAATTATATTGGATGGATAAAGGAATGTGTTTGCACTCCTTCGTTCTCTGTTTCAATCAATGGAAGGTCTGATGGGTTTTTCAAGAGTAAGAGAGGTTTGAGGCAAGGAGATCCCCTCTCCCCTTACCTCTTTGTGCTTGCCATGGAAGTCTTTTCAAAGCTGATTCAATCGAGATTTGCTTCGGGCTATATTGCTTATCACCCGAAGACTGAAAATCTAGAGATCTCCCATATGATGTTCGCCGACGACGTGATGGTCTTCTTTGATGGCAGCGGGTCTTCTCTGCACGGTATTTATGAGACGCTAGACGACTTCGCGGGTTGGTCAGGGCTGCGGTTGAATAGGGATAAGACGCTTCTCTTCCATGCTGGTCTCTCTCCATGTGAAGATAGAGAAATCTCAAATTATGGTTTTCCTTGTGGTTCTCTTCCCGTGAGATATTTAGGGTTGCCCCTTATGTGTCGAAAGCTGAGAATTAGCGAATACTCTCCTCTAGTGGAAAAAATTACTGGGAAATTTAGAGCTTGGGCTGTCAAGTCTCTCTCGTTTGCTGGAAGGACTCAACTCATCAAATCTGTGATCTATGGGACTGTGAATTTTTGGATCTCTACTTTCTCGCTTCCAACAGGGTGTATCAAAAAAATCGAATCTCTTTGTTCGTCATTCCTTTGGTCTGGGAACATCGAAAATCATTCAAAGGCAAAAGTGGCTTGGTCTAGTGTTTGCTTGCCAAAGGCAGAAGGTGGACTGGGTCTAAGGAAGTTAACTGTTTGGAACAACACTCTCTGCCTAAGGCTTATCTGGTTGCTTTTCTCAGGTGGAGGTTCTCTTTGGGTTGCTTGGCAGAATCATCATCATAGGTTGTCTACCACAAGCTTCTGGCAGATACAAGGTAAAAATTCAGATTCTTGGTTGTGGAAGAGTTTGCTAAAACTGAGACACCTAGTAAGACAATTCATCAGCTGCAAAATTGGGAATGGTACAAACGCCTGGTTTTGGCATGATTCTTGGACACCGTTTGGTTCTCTCTTAAATCTCCTGGGTGAACATGGCCCAAGGATTTTAAGAATCCCTGTTTTGGCGAAAGTGGCTGATGTTTGCAACGACAATGGCTGGCTTTTAGCCTCTCCTAGGTCTGATCAGGCTGTGGCTCTTCAGATTTTCTTATCCACAATTCAGCTGCCTTCCCATTCTGTCTTACCAGACTCTTTTGATTGGGTTATTGATAGCATTCCTTGCAAAGGTTTCTCCTCTTCTAAGACTTGGGAGAAGCTTAGGCCGAGAGGCACTTTGAAAGATTGGGCTTCTCTGGTTTGGTTCAAGGGCTCAACTCCTAAGCATGCATTCAATATGTGGATCTCTAATCTCAATAGGCTCCCAACAATGGATCGTCTTTCTTCTTGGGGTCTTCAGGTGTCGACGACATGCTGCCTCTGCTCTGCTTCTACGGAAACACGAGATCACTTGTTCTTGGAATGCTCTTTCACTCGGGTAATCTGGGACAAGATTCTGTCCAGGCTTGGTTTGCCACTGGTTTTGTTCTCAACCTGGGATTCTCTGCTTCAATGGACAAAGGCTCAGACCAGTTCCTCTCCTCATACGCTTCTTCTTTTAATTCTCCATGCCTTGGTCTACTCGGTTTGGAGGCAGAGGAACAATCTAATCCACAATCAGATTTCGATCCCTCCGCTTAACATCTTCAAAGATATTGACCGGCAGATTATCAATACCATCACAGCCAGAAGGCATATGAAGAAGTTTCGTAACCTTATGGGGCTCTGGTTGTACTAAGGGTCTCTTGTTTGTATTCTAATTCGTGACTGCTAGAATTTGTGGTTTGTGCTTTGTTTTTTATTCCTTTTTTGCCAAAGCCCAAAGTATATAGGCCTTGTTTGTAATGCCTACCTTTCATTTTAATGATATTTACTCATTTAGCAAAAAAAAACAGTCGAAAGAATCTGTTCCTTAACTCTAAGTAACTCTATATAAAATATAGTCACTCGTTTAGTTGAAGCTAAGGATCGTCGGGAAACATTTACAATATATATATATATATATATAAGGTCTGGTTACATATATTTTACTAGTTAGAAACAAATCGGATCGATATGATACGTTTCTCGGATTTGATCACAGTATCACACAATATATATATAGAAGCTGATGATCATTTAGATTTAGAATGGTTACAACATAACGTAAATAGTGTCGAATATATACAATTCATATTTGTGTATATATGGATATATAAAGTAGTTGAGAGAAGAATAACAGAGTGTGTTTGAGCTGGCTTTTTCTGTTAACAGGAACTGTGGCTGAGGAGGGGCCTTGCCAGCTTCAACAGACAATAACAATTGTAATGTCATAAATTAGTAGTTCTATATTCTATCTTCTAACCAATAACCATATATTATTAATTTATAACAAATTTCCTCTCTAACCAATTCAACGACATATGTATGCTTTTAAAACTATATATATGTTTTTGTGGCATAAATGTTGTAATATTACCTTTGTTACTTAGATCATGCGACTTGCATGCATGCCAACGCCGTACTTTTAGCCATAGTGGTAAAAACATGACTTGTTAATTCAAGCATATGAGATGTGGACGTATTACCAACTACGTTATTCTTATTTTCTATTACTATATATAGAACTTGTGATAAGGTAAACTTTATAATTTTGTGTCCTATATTAATGTTGTCGAATTTGATCACCGACTTTTTCGAAACATACCTACATTTCAGAGTTAACCATCACAGATTCATAGAATGTACGTGACTACTATAAAACTCAAAACTAATATCAACAAATTATGGACCTAGCCAGTAGCTAGTGACTTGTATCCTCGGATTAAGATTCAAAGTAGATTAGATTACTGACATTTGATACTCAAAATTAAGATTTGCTTTATCTTAAGCGATATGAAAATTGTCTTTATAATATATACACATATTTAGGTGATGATGATAAACGTGAACACTCCCAATCTGTTTTTTTGGGGCAAAACAGATTATATACGATATACACTCATGTGAGACGATTTAATTTGGGGTCGGTGGTACGTAGACACAATTATATTATATACGATCTCATATATTCATCTACATACGTTTATATAGAAAGATAATTAAGCATAAGACTAAATAACACTCCTACATTCACGTGGCTATGATACCACCAAGTATTTGAATAGTAACTTTTTTATAAACAAACATACCAAATTAATAAAGCCATGAATTAATAAAATAACAGCCCTAAGCGACCTATATATACACAATAGGCGATCTCAGTAGAAGAATCATATCTTCTTTCTCCTCCAATAGTTACATACAACTTCAACAAGAGAATCTGATGAGGATATTACCAAAAAGCGGCGGAGGTGCTTTTGGCCTCCTCTTTGTGTTTGCTCTCTGTTCGGTGGCTCATTCCCTTAGCCGTGACGTCAAGGTCGTTGGGGATATCGAGGTCGTTGGCTACTCAGACATCAGCAAAATCAAGATCCCCAATGCATTCTCAGGTCTAGAATTATATTGCAATATATGCTTTATAATCTTATCCTCGGTCAAGTCCATATATATATGCATGTTGTTATACTATTGTTCCGGTCGATAAATGTCCCTTCTAGGTCCATTTATAATTCGATTGATTATGCATGGACTATAAAAAACAATTTTCTTCTTATAACTCTAATATAATTTCTTTTTGTTTAATTGCGACTTTTATTTGAAAATAGGACTCCGAGTAACGATAGATTGCAAGGCGGTTGATTCAAAAGGCCATTTTGTTACAAGAGGAAGCGGAGAAGTTGACGAAACAGGAAAGTTTCATCTCAATATTCCTCATGACATTGTCGGTGACGACGGAACTCTAAAAGAAGCCTGCTATGCTCAACTTCAAAGTGCCTCCGGCAACCCTTGTCCGGCCCACGACGGCCTCGAGGCCTCAAAGATCGTGTTTCTATCGAAATCCGGCGATAACCACGTTTTGGGTCTCAAACAAAGTCTTAAATTCTCACCGGAAGTTTGCATCTCAAAGTTCTTTTGGCATATGCCTAAATTCCCTTTGCCTCCGCCGCTTAATCTCCCGCCGTTAACGTTTCCTAAGATCAAGAAACCTTGTCCCCCAATTTACAAGCCACCGGTGGTGATCCCCAAGAAGCCGTGTCCACCAAAGATAGCACATAAACCCATCTACAAGCCACCCGTACCCATCTACAAGCCTCCGGTGCCTATCTACAAGCCACCAGTGGTGATCCCCAAGAAACCATGTCCACCAAAGATACACAAGCCCATCTACAAGCCACCCGTGCCTATATACAAGCCCATCTACAAGCCTCCAGTGGTGATCCCAAAGAAGCCATATCCGCCACTTCACAAGCCCATCTACAAGCCCCCGGTGCCTATCTACAAGCCGCCGGTGCCTATCTACAAACCGATCATCAAGCCGCCGGTGGTGGTGATTCCAAAGAAGCCATGTCCACCACTTCCCAAGTTTCCACATTTCCCACCAAAATACATTCCACACCCTAAGTTCGGAAAATGGCCTCCTTTCCCTTCTCATCCTTGATGGAGATACATAATAATCTGTCTTTCTTGATTTAAGAAAAGTGATCGAGTGATGCCACAAAAGAATATTCCTTTGTTGCTTTGTTGAATTTTATGTAGATGTTTCATGTTTATGTATCGTAAATTCAAGCCAATAATATTTGTAATTTTTTCGTTAAATAATTCAGTAATCTCTTTTGTGTTGATGATTTCTTTTAAGGATCTTAATTAGCACGAAAAGTATCAATTCCTCTCTCTTTTTTCTCTTTTTCAAACATAGCAATTCCTTTGAAATATTTTTTCATAATAATTTTTTTTAAATAAATCGTTAACGATAGTACTGTAGTAGGCCCGTTTCAAAGGGTAGGATAAAAAGAAGACAAGCCCAAGAGGTCCAATAATAATCTTACGAGAAAAGTCCATCAAAAAAAATATATTTTTTTGTTAAATATGTCCAAATATTTTGAAATTTTATATATTTTCACAAATAAGAAGTCCAATCATTTTTAAATATTTTATTATTTACATTATTTCTGTTTTAAGTGTATATTAAAAATTAAAAATGAACAATGTAACCGTTCTTTTTTACAATTTACCTTTTTATTTGTCATTTTCAACATAATATTTCCGTTTTTCGTGAAAACTTCCCTTTTTCTTTGTCGTTTTCAATATAATATTTCCGTTTTTCTTGAAAACTTCTCTTTTTATTTGTCGTTTTTCATCATACTATTTCCGTTTCGATACCATATTTCTGTTTTTATCGAAAATTTTATTTTGTACTTGTCGTTTTCGACATAAGATTTCCGTTTCTATACCAAATTTCCGTTTTTTTTAATCATCAAATATGTATGTAAAACTAAGAATACACAACATTTCCATTTTATAAAAAAAAATCATTGAAATAGAAATAAATGAAAAAGTAAATACGGGTTGCAACATTAAAGAGTAACAACACGTGTCGATTTCGGGATGGACAATTCGAGAGCATTTACCGTGGTCAAAAACTCAACCTAACCACGGTTACGATTTATTCAAGAAACAATGGAGATCTCGACACGTGTCTCAATCTAAATACCCAGTGATATTATCTCACAAATATTACCTTCCTCTATAAATACCCCCTCTTCGTCTTCAACAACTTCTCCAGAAAATCTAGGTCACACACTTTTCTTAATCCTCCTCCCAAAATCGAACAACAATGGCGACGCATCCCAAAGTTTTCTTCGACATGACGATCGGCGGTGCACCGGCGGGGAAGATCGTGATGGAGCTTTACACCGACAAGACACCGAAAACGGCGGAGAATTTCAGAGCTCTATGCACCGGAGAGAAAGGCGTTGGACGTAGCGGGAAGCCACTTCACTTCAAAGGATCTTCGTTTCACCGTGTGATCCCTAATTTCATGTGTCAAGGAGGAGATTTCACCAACGGAAACGGAACTGGTGGTGAATCGATCTACGGATCCAAGTTTGAGGATGAGAATTTCGAGAGGAAACACACAGGGCCTGGGATTTTGTCGATGGCTAACGCTGGTGCTAACACTAATGGATCTCAGTTTTTCATCTGTACGGTGAAGACTGATTGGCTTGATGGTAAGCATGTGGTGTTTGGGCAGGTGATTGAAGGCTTGGACGTTGTTAAGGCTATTGAGAAGATTGGATCTTCGTCTGGTAAGCCGACGAAGCCTGTTGTCATTGCTGATTGTGGTGAGATCTCTTCTTAGATTCCGGTGACGGTGACGGTGATGGATCTAGGGTTTCTAGAAGTTTCTTCTTCTTAGCTATTATGGACTCTCTGTGATGTTTGCTCTGTTTCTGCTTTTGGGTATTTTCCTAATTAAGCACCATTAATAATAAATAACAAAATGTTTTAAGGAATTGTTGCATTTTTTGTGCTTTTGGCGTTTTGTCCAATAGACCATAATAGAAACAAAATCGTAAATGGATAATTTCTAAAATTAGAAAAAATCATACTATATAAATAAGACAAAAGTAATGACTAATGAATTGTTTTATACATTGGTGCAATACTACAACTGGGCCTTTCGTAATAGGCCCAACAAAAATTTGAGCTTGTTTGTGCCTAATGGGCCTAACGTATTATCATATAGGTGTAAAGTTGTTATGGGCTTCATTCGTAATTTTGTACTCTTGACTAATTTTTATGTACTATCAAAACAAATACAAATAGGTAGTGGACGATTAAGAAATTTCTTAGAGTGTTGTTGTTACAAGTTTTGTTTTTTGAATCTTGTAAGGGTCAGAACTGGTTTAATAAAACAATGGTGGTCGAATATGTACAACAAATTCATAGTTTATCAAATTTGACTAAAAAAAATTTAGTAACATGATGATAAATAAGTTAATTAGCAAAGTTCCGCGTAATGAATGCCACAGCTATTAAGATAGATACGTAGCATGTGTTGATTTTGAATGATAAATATGTGTTTTGACAAGTTTATAATGTTTTTTTAATAAGCTAAAGTGAAATAATTAGGTGAGAAATGGTTACCAAATGAAATCAACTACAAGTCTACGAATGTGTGTGATTGAAAATTGAGCCGACGCCGATAGTGAATGAGAGCAACAATTCTCTTTTTATTTTTGTAAGTATTATTGAACCAAAACGCGTACCGGAACCGGTTAAGCATCGGCAAGACCCACGAATTTTCCTGAGCTGTCGTCTTGCCAGAGGCACAAAGTCGAGGAGAGAGAGGTCGTCGAACCAGATCTCTTTCTCTTTCTTCTCTCATTTTTTGAGTTTTTGAATTTTCAGCAAAAAAAGCAAATCGCAGAGAAGTCGTCGTGTGACAGACGGCCGCGTTGCATCGGACTACTTGTTCGATTCTCTTTGGTCATTCTCTCTTTGATCAGCAACAACCCTTGTTTCAAAATTCTTAATTTCCGCCGGATTTATAATCCCAGATTGATTCTAATCGGAGACAATAGATAGGGTTATTAAAAGGATAGACCTTTTTGTGACCGAGATTGACTTCAATTGTCTTCCGATTCGATAGATAAGATTTAGGGTTAGTTTGACGTTGACGTTGATAGGGAATGGAGTCGGACAATGGGAAGGGGTTGATACTAGCTGTAGCCTCAAGTGTTTTCATTGGTTCCAGCTTCATTCTTAAGAAGAAAGGTCTCAAACGAGCTGGTGCTATTGGTACCCGTGCAGGTTCTCTCTTCTTCTTACCAATTTCATAACTTGCTACTTCTATTCTTGTAATTGAATCGATTTTTGAACAAGTTCCATTTACAGTTTCTCTTTTGATTTCTCTTTTGATTTCTCTTATCCACAAATGTAACGTCAATCACTCAATAACAGTTACAAATAGCTTTGTTTTATCTGAAACATGTTCCCTATCAAAATGATATAATCTCACAATGGAATTGGTATTCTCTCACTGGATGATACAGGATATGGAGGTTATACTTACTTATTAGAGCCGCTTTGGTGGGCAGGGATGGTTACCAGTGAGTGTCTTTCATATGTTATTTACTTTTCTTTCATAGTCCCAATTCTAAACAAGATTTATCTCTAACTTCAAATGTTGTTTAGTGATTGTTGGAGAAGCTGCAAACTTTGTGGCTTACATTTATGCCCCCGCTGTACTCGTTACTCCTCTCGGTGCATTAAGTATAATTATCAGGTATCTATGTCATCACATTGCTCTGTTCTGTGTTTGTCACTTTTGTGATATTCTCTCACTAATGACTAACCTCTCATTTTTCACTCTTTTGCTAGTGCTGTTTTGGCACATTTTCTATTGAAGGAAAAACTTAAGAAAATGGGGGTTCTTGGATGTGTGTCTTGCATCGTCGGGTCTGTTGTTATTGTCATACACGCACCTAAAGAGCAGACTCCTAATTCCGTTGAAGAAATATGGAATCTGGCTACTCAGCCAGGTACCTCTCTCTTTCTTACTCGCACACATTTTATGCCTTATGTACACTTGTTTATCTGACAAGCTCAATTTTCCTTTTCTTATCCATGATAACAGCTTTTCTAATCTACGTAGCCATAACCATGTCGATTGTCCTTGCTTTAATTCTGCACTTTGAACCCCTGTGCGGCCAAACAAACATTCTGGTTTATATCGGAATCTGTTCGTTAATGGGTGCTCTCACTGTAAGTTGGTTCATCTGAGCATACTCGAGCCTTAATTTCATTTTCTAGTGCACTTATAACTCTTATAATATCTTGTTCTTGGTTCTTTAAACAGGTTATGAGCATAAAGGCTATTGGAATTGCGATAAAATTAACAATGGAGGGAGTAAGCCAGATCGGGTATCCACAGACATGGCTTTTTGTCATGGTTGCGGTAACCTGTGTCGTTACACAATTGATTTACCTAAACAAGGTAAGCTCTCAACACCAAAATTGTTTGGAAAGCCAGTGAAAGTAGAACAGTTATATCGTTTAATGCCTGCAAACAAATATCCATCAGTAGATCATTCCTCAACTTGACCTAGGGACAGAATCGCTGCATCTATAGCATTGAAGGTCTTTTTTTTCCAGCAAACTTAAGAACTCTAGAATGTCACTTGGCATTGTTGATACATTTTGTGTTTCTATGTGGCATACTATTCCCGTCTCTACTTAAGGCTTAAGATTGTTACTGTTATGAATTTTTTTTGCAGGCTTTGGACACATTCAACGCAGCCATTGTTTCTCCAGTATACTATGTAATGTTCACAACCCTCACAATAGTTGCTAGTGCAATAATGTTCAAGGTAGGTTCAACTAGATAACGTTTAGATCCCAAAAGGTAAGTTAAAGGAAGCACTTAACATCGGAACTCTGTTTTCACAGGACTGGTCTGGGCAAGACGCAGCCAGCGTAGCCTCTGAGTTATGTGGATTCATCACTGTGCTCACAGGCACAATGATACTCCATGGCACAAGAGAAGAGGAACAACAACAAGCTTCTTCAGGTAAAAGAAAACTCTTGCATTCTCCATCATCGATCATATCTGTTTCTTCTTGTGATGCCATTATTAAAGCATAATGCTGGTCTGATCTTTGGGTATTCAGAACAAGTAAGATGGTACGACTCGAGAAAGAGCATGAACGAAGAACATCTGATAAGTCTGTACAGTCCTGAATACTAGGAAGAACATCTCTCTAGACTTCTAATAGATTGAATGAATATTTGCCAAGAACAAGCCTCAGGGATCTTAAAACTGGATCAATCAACAAATCTGAGGGGAATGATATCGGTCGGCTTCGTTTTTGTATTGTTTGTGGTCTCTGTACAGACAAAAAGGTTTGTCTAGTTAAAAAACTTCACATTCTTTAGTTTTGATCTCTGTGTCTCTTCTTAGTACAGTTACAGGTCTTCTTATCTGGACTTTTGTCCAAATTTACTGTGATATATTTATATATGTATCTTCATTCTTCTAGGATGAAATATTCCTTAATTGTATCTCAATTGAATAAAAAAATAAGGTAAAAGTTTGATTAGAATTGAGAGAGTTAACAACAATCTATTAGATGAAGGAGGACAAGACTTCTTATATTCATAATAGAAAGGAAAAAAAGAGAAAAAAGCAAGAAATCAACCGGTGAAATCAATGTTGGATACTAAAGTGATAGAAATTGTTCGGTGGTAGCCGCCTAGCCGGAGACTTTGTCGACTTTGGCTTTGGCTACCACCGAACAAACTCTATCATTTTGATCTCCGACGTTATAGTGAGCCTCTGAGATGAGAAGTGTAATGTTTTCTCTTTCTCTTTCTCTTGGAAATGATGAAGTTAAGCGAGATACATAGACAAGTAATAATGGTCTACTATCTCCTGGAAGGTGACACGAAAGCATGCCACATGTTCTCACCTAAGCATACCTCATCTTAGCTAAATAATTTAAAACGATTAAGTAATTGTTTATTTTTTCATGCGTTGTCACTTGTCAGTAGTTTGAATGCAACCAATCTAATATTTTCTGATTGTGTGTAAAAAATAAATAATTGTAAATTCTCATACAAAAAATAAGAAAATATAGATAAAATTTATAAATTACAACAAAAATGCATTGTAGGTTTGGCTTCTGCCTGTAGAACCTCGGAAACATTAGTATATTTATGAATGCAGTATGTTTGAGTTAAAAAAAAAAAACAAAAGAATGCATTGTAGGTTTTTAAATTCCTTGATATTCATATTTCTTGTGATATTTGGTATAACTAAAAATAGATACATACATAACTCTCATAGTATTATTCTCTATTTCTTTTGGTCAACAAACTAATATTCGCTGTCAAAAACAAAAAACAAACAAACTAATATTCATTATAGCAAAAAAAATATTCATTATAGCAAAACATAACTAATCAAACAATAAATAATAATTATTTTATTTCAAATTCTAATCATTTGATTCTTTTCCTATTTAAAAGTTTATAAACTGCATGCATATGGGAAACAAATGAAAAATGGATTTGATTCCAGATCAGTCCAGAGCCTAACCTATTGAGTCAGTATCTTCCAATCAAATTGCAATCTTTGGTGCTCTTATATATTACATTACATGTAAAACCTCTAACAAAAAAACATTACATGCATGTAAAAACAAAAAGGATTAATGGAGAAGAAAATAGGAATAGTAGTTGATCTTTATCTTTGCCTCACCTTTGCACTCGGCGAATACTATTCAAAAACTCGTCCATTCACACCGAAACAACTAGTGGTCACAAATCTTCATTTCTTCTTTCACGACACTCTCACCGCCCCAAACCCATCAGCCGTCCTCATTACCAAGCCTACTCTCACAGGAGGAGACAACGACTCTTCTCCCTCACCGTTCGGCTCTCTTTTCGCTCTCGATGACCCTCTCACCGTAGGACCGGACCCGAAATCCAAGAAGATCGGGAACGCTAGAGGGATGTATGTTTCCTCCGGAAAACATGTTCCCACATTGACCATGTACGTCGACTTCGGGTTCATCTCCGGCAAGTTTAACGGTAGTTCTATCGCCGTGTTTTCGAGGAATACGATAACGGAGAAAGAGAGGGAGGTTGCGGTTGTGGGGGGTCGAGGAAGGTTTAGGATGGCTAGAGGAGTGGCTCAACTCAATACATATTACGTTAACTTGACCAATGGGGATGCTATCGTTGAGTATAATGTCACTCTCTATCATTATTAACAACACTATACATAAAGGCTTTTCTAATTCCTAATGTAATCACTTCCTTTGGAATAATTTAATGTTCATGATTTTTATATATTAAGTTGTATTGGATGTCATGCAGGCTATGAAATCTCTTCAAAAATGCATATTCAACTCTTTTACATTTTGCATACATACATTAACAAGTGCACTCAGGCCGGTCCAATAAAAATGGTGGCCCGAATCAATTTTTTTTTTTTTTTTTTTGATAATAAAAACCACACAATTTAAAACAAGAAGTCTACATTTGACCAGAAGATCTATCATCAGCACCATTACATAATTTACATAGCCGAATTAGGAGTTATTAGGTCGACCAATGCAAAACATAGAGTTATCTTAATTAGTTAATTCAAACAATTAAATTATTAGGTGAACCATTACGCCACCACATAGTGACTTTGTCGCATTTGTCTTCGTACTTTTTCTTTTAATTAGATATCATTTTTCAGTTTGGTTGAACTAACTTTTTTTTTTTTTTTTTTTTTTTTTTTTTTTAAATTCTCATATGTAAATTCTCTATAAAAAGAATTGTATACCATTGCACCAGAAACTCATTTTACATTCACAATCACAGACACTTTGTTACAATTTAGAAAGAAACGAAAAATGGCAAAAGCGAAAGATGTATCAACAATGATGGTTCTGCTAATAACGATAATGCCACTGGCTGCTCATGGATCGAGACTGTATAGTTGGGCTAATCGGCTTGAGGAAACAAGTAAGGAGAAGGTAACAAACCTTCAGTTCTACTTCCATGACACCTTGAGCGGCAAGAATCCGACTGCCGTTAAAGTGGCTCAGGGCACAGACACCGACAAATCCCCAACGCTGTTTGGCGCTGTGTTCATGGTCGACGACGCTCTAACGGAGACTGCTGATCCAAAATCCAAACTCGTGGGACGAGCTCAAGGCCTTTACGGTGCTTCATGTACGTACGTTGTATATTATTTCTTACAATAACCGGACCGGGAATATAAAACCGGTTTGGTTGATCAATAATAATCAATAATTAATAACCGGTTTTGATTGGGACACAGGTAAAGAAGAGGTAGGTTTGATAATGGCCATGAGCTTCTGTTTCGAGGACGGTCCATACAAGGACAGTACCATAAGCATGATCGGGAAGAACTCCGTGATGAACCCAATCCGAGAAATGCCGATTGTTGGCGGCACGGGAATGTTTCGAATGGCTCGTGGCTACGCTATTGCTAAGACCAATTGGTTCGATCCCAAGACCGGTGATGCCATCGTTGGCTATAACGTTACCGTTGTGCACTAGAAATTAAGGCTTTGTTTCACTTTCATATATTACGGCGTCGTTTTTAGCCATGCATTACATGTAACATTTCACTACTATTTTTTTCATATTATTTGAAGATTTAGTCATTTAAAAAAAACATATGGCAAGAGACACGACAGATTTTAGCAAAAATCGGATCTCGAATCCACCACAGTTAACACGTTTACGTAGCTCATTACCATTTGATCCCATAATAGACTGTGTAAATGACTGAAACGTCATGGGTTCGAGACCCGATTTTTGTAACTCCAACAAGCGAAACGATGTCATTTTAAGTCACATCATCATATATGACTGATTCAGCAACCGTAATGGTTGACTAATACACGTTAACTACGACTCCGAATTATATTCTAAATATAAAGTTTAGATATGAAATTCAAATTTTTTTTGTAGTTTGAGTATAATTAATCCTACGTGTTTGTATAGGCCGGAAAACACATTTTGCGGATTGTACGGGTACGAAAATACCAATTTCCCGGCAAAATCGTAAATTCGTTGACTTATCACGATAGAACAAGAAGGCCATGGGCTTTATAGACCTAAGCCCAAAAGTGAAAAAGGATTTGTCTTTGTTAGTATGATCCAAACCATAACCAAAACCTAAACCAGATCCGGTTTCTAAACCCATCCGACGGCATATGATTTCTTACCGGCGAATCTCGCCGGCGCAAACCCTTTCTGACTTGTCTCCGCCGGGATCAGAAGAAATCAATCGCAAATCCTTAAAGTCGCCTCCCATGGTGGTTTCTCCCTCCAATGCCCATCAGTAACCCTAGGAAACGGCCAATCTGTGTCGCTCGATCGTTTCTCAGCAGCCACGCAACCAAAGCAGAGCTCTCTCAGGCCGTATCTCGTCTCGAGTCCTTGACTCAACAAGGGATTCGATTACCCTTTGACCTCCTAGCTTCGCTGCTCCAACAGTGTGGAGATACCAAGTCTTTGAAACAAGGCAAATGGATTCATCGTCACTTGAAGATTACTGGATTCAAGAGACCCAACACGCTTTTGTCCAATCATTTAATCGGAATGTACATGAAATGTGGTAAACCTATTGATGCGTGTAAAGTGTTTGATCAAATGCATCTCAGGAACTTGTATTCTTGGAACAATATGGTCTCCGGTTTTGTCAAATCGGGGATGTTGGTGCGTGCACGAGTTGTGTTCGATAGTATGCCTGAGAGAGATGTTGTGTCTTGGAACACCATGGTTATTGGGTATGCTCAGGATGGGAATCTACACGAGGCTTTGTGGTTTTTTAAAGAGTTGAGGAGATCTGGAATCAAGTTCAACGAGTTCAGTTTCGCCGGGCTCTTGACGGCATGTGTGAAATCTAGGCAGCTCCAGCTCAATCAACAAGCTCACGGGCAGGTTCTGGTTGCTGGGTTTTTGTCAAATGTGGTGCTTTCGTGTTCTATCATCGATGCTTACGCCAAATGTGGTCAGATGGAGAGTGCTAAAAGATGTTTTGATGAGATGACAGTGAAGGATATTCATATTTGGACCACTCTGATCTCTGGGTATGCCAAACTTGGAGATATGGAAGCGGCTGACAAGTTATTTCGTGAGATGCCGGAGAAGAATCCAGTCTCTTGGACCGCATTAATTGCTGGATATGTTAGGCAAGGCTCAGGGGATCTAGCGCTTGACTTGTTTAGAAAAATGATTGCTATGAGGGTTAAACCAGAGCAGTTTACTTTCAGTAGCTGTCTATGTGCCTCTGCGAGCATTGCTTCTCTTAGACACGGGAAGCAAATTCATGGTTACATGATCCGTACCAATGTTATACCCAATGCGATTGTCACCAGTTCTTTGATAGATATGTACTCCAAATCAGGTAGTTTAGAAGCTAGCGAGCGGGTGTTCAGAATTTGCTATGACAAGCAAGACTGCGTTTTGTGGAATACGATGATTTCTGCATTGGCACAGCACGGGCTTGGCCACAAGGCCTTGCAGATGCTTGATGACATGATCAGATTGAGAGTCCATCCAAACCGGACGACTCTGGTTGTGATTCTTAATGCCTGCAGTCATTCAGGTCTAGTAGAGGAAGGAGTGAGGTGGTTTGAGTCAATGATTGTTCAGCACAGAATTGTTCCCGACCAAGAGCATTACGCATGTCTGATAGATCTCCTAGGTCGTGCCGGTTGTTTCAAAGAACTGATGAGCAAGATCGAGGAAATGCCTTTCGAACCCGACAAGCATATCTGGAACGCAATCCTAGGAGTATCCAGAATCCATGGAAACGAAGAACTGGGAAAGAAAGCAGCGGAAGAGCTGATCAAACTGGACCCTGAGTCGTCTGCGCCATACATATTGCTGTCAGGCATTTACGCAGATCATGGGAAGTGGGAATTAGTAGAGAAGCTGAGAGGGATTATGAAGAAGAGAAGAGTGAACAAAGAAAAAGCTGTTAGTTGGATTGAAATCGAGAACAAAGTTGAAGCTTTCACTGTCTCAGACGGGTCGCATGCTCATGCTCATGCTCGGAAAGAAGAGATCTACTTCATTCTGCATAATCTGGCTGCACTTATGGAAGAAGAAGCTTCAAGAACATGATCTCTCATACAAGAAGAAGCATCATGGAACACCTGCAATTTTTCTTCCCAGGATTGTACACTGTTAAAGCCTGCAAAAGCAGGGATCTATACGTGTTGTGATGAATTTGATTTAGCTTTAGAAGTTTTGTCAGTGTAACAGAGAGCTAAAATCTAGAGTCTTCAAATTCTTTGTTTTTTCTTCTTCCAGATTTTTTGGTTAATAAGAAGCAAAATTAAAATCAAAAATTTCTGGTTTGTTTCGTATTGGCAAAGTTATTAGTTGTTAGAAAACGATGGAAATGGCAAAGAAAGGGACAAATACAAAAATAAAGAAAAAGCGATACAGTTGGAGCAACCAATATTTATGATGTTCATCAAACATTCAAACCCAACAATAACCCGGTTCTGTCTGTTAAACCAGTGATCAATTTTTATTTTGGTCAAACACCGGTGACCAAGTGTTGTGCATCAATCAGAGCTTTTACTTCCTGAGTAGATTCACGATCCAGTTGAAGTCTCTCTTGCATACATCTTAAGGAAAGTCAGGCTTCAAGAGAAGATTTAAATGAAGCTTTCGCAGCGTCTTTTGTTGTCTCATAGATACCTTAGTGAGTTCTAAGATAGAACCACGACCTTGCTCAGGATCCACATCACCAGAGAGAACTCAAATGCAAAGAGCGTATGAAGCAATCCCCTATCGAGTGCATATCCATAGAGCGTAATCCCCTTGTTGTTATGTCGCAGGTATTCCACTGCAATGTAACTCCCATCAATTGTTTGCAACTTATTTTGAAATAAGAAGAGCATGAAATCTCAATATAACGCACCTAGAGCTTGCCTAGCCTGGAAGAAGGAAGATAGATCCAGTGACGGTGACACATTAATGTATATGTTGTCGGATGAGTCAGTATCACTCTCGGGTGATACAGCTTCAGAAGCGCATGTCAAAGCCATGTGCCACCTTGTAGCAATACAGACTACTCCTTGAGCTCTGTGTGTGATTCTTGCAGCACCCAACACGCACAAGAAGAATCCGCTTAACTGTACTGCAGAACATACCTTGAGATAGAAGAATATGTATGCTTCATTAAATGCAGAGCGCTGAAACGTAGAAAATTATTACAACAAAGCTTTAGAAAATTACCACCAAATCACCAGAGCTGAGGAAACTCCTGTCAGACTTTGATGCAAGAACCAACAATAAGGCCACAAACTGACTGGTACTAATCACAACAAAGGCCGCGATGATGAAAAACCTGTACCTGTGGCTTGTAGCCGACAGTTGTTTCTTGATTCTCACATGTTCCTTGCATACATCTTCTATGGTGTCTGATCCACATCTATCGAACAGCTTGTGAAGCCCTCGGAACCTCAGTATCTGCAGCTCACAGGTCAACCGGAACAGGATACAAACTAGCAAGAACACTCCTGTCCGGTAAACCCATGAAAATAAGACGAGGAAGAACATCACAAAGTTCAATGCAGCACAAGATGACTTTATGAAAGGAAATGATACTTCGGCGGAGGAGAAAAATATGCTCTTATGCACAAGTTCCACAAGGAAAGAAGGTACAAGTATGTAGGCTAGGTAACGTAAGGCCTTGTCAAGTTCGCGCGAATATCCAAGCCTCACCAAGGTAGAATCATCAAGAAACAGAAGCTGTGTGAGACTATATATTCTGAAGAAACATATTAGAGTCAAGAAACCAATGACGGCAAGTCCAGACTCTGGAAATTGGACGAGCACATTGAAAGAGTTGGCGTCCATAACTGATGAAGGCCGGGTTCTAGGAGTTTTGATGGACAGACAACTTATGATAGGGACTAGTAAGGTGAAGACTACAAACATCATATAGGACACAGCTTTACCAGAAGAGGAGGAGTGATCCAGAGCGCACCACTTGAGGAGCAGACGAAAGTTGCGCAAATCATCAGAAGGCAAGGATTTTGAAGGTTGTAAGGGTGTGTTAGAGAGGATTGGGAGGTGATGGAGAAAGTATTCATCTTCACCATGATTCATATCTTTCCAGAGGAATCAAAGGGTTGAGGGATCACCAAAGTTATATATAGAAGGTCACTGGCTCACTGCGAAAAGAGAAAATGACAATTCAAAATAACTACACCCACATGCAATGCAAGATATTTATAGGTATTTGGTAGAGGTCTTACATTTTTCATCACAAGCGATGGTTGATCAAAAAAGAGAAACTGGAGAGAAAAGCAATAGTTGCTTGCTTTGTCACGTGAAGTGAAGAACCCTCTCTCTCTCTTTCTCCTTTACTACTTTTGGGTAATCCAACTTGGCTGTGTATCTTTCCCCGCAAGGTAAGTCTTTTCAAAGTCTTGATTCTAGTTAATATTTGCAGTTGAGAAACACGAGTGGTCTGCTATGCAACACTTTTCATCCACAACAAGATTAGCTGATAAAATTTTGCTTCCCTCTGTTGGGTGGAATTGTCTCAGTTTATATAGGAATCAAAACACGGCTTGTGTTTTAGGTGTAAGAACATGTTATATGTGTCTGAAATTTGAAGATTCATATTCATTTTCATTTAGTTTTTGGCAGATGCCATTCTTCAAGTCAGAACAGTACCCTGGGACTGGTTACCTACAAAATTTGGTCTTCAAACTTTCTTCCAACGAACCGAAGACCACTGAGAACAACCCTGCAGAAGCAAAATTAAACGGACAATTCAGTTGTCTTCATGTTGGTAACTAACATCGAAAGTTTTGGTCCTTCACGATTTTGGTGAGATCAGACAAATAGAAACAGTAAAGATTTTTCCAGCAACTTAGGGAAACCGAGCAAAATGACTAACCTGAGAGGGGACTATCTTTCTGCTGCAATGATCCTTTTATAAGCAACGTTCCTGGCATCTGTTGGAACACCTGTAATAGAAGTTTCTCCATCATACACCAATTTGAAAAGGTGAAGGCAATCGTTAGGGATTTCTCAAATTAGATCCAAACTTACCAAAATGCGGAAAGATAGGTTATCTTCAGAGACTTGCAAACTGGATCCATCCAGTGACTGTTTGTCATATCCGTGGCTTCTTACATTATCTACATCTGTAATGCCATTCTTTGAGATTGAGTTGCACTGGTCATCAGATGCAACAATCTGTACAACAATAGAAGGAAACTCTGTTGAGCTTGAGATACTGTAGAAACAAGCTTGGATGGCAAGACAAAACAATACAGGTAGTGCACTTACGTCAACAGAAAATGTAGAAGAGTTTAATTTGCACGAGGCGCCACAGCTCTTGAAGAATTCTTCAACTGATTGCAGCACATCTACAGCACTGTACTGCCGTTTAATCCCCTATAAACACACAAAGCCACCATGAAGAATGTAAGGCTTGAGTAAAGCCCGAGACTTTTTATATATTTACATAGCAAATATATGTTACTTAAGCATGTAAAGGATGACAAAAATTATAGATAGATTACCTCAAGCATAAAAGAAAGAACACTCTTCTTGACTACAGGAGGTGCTATAATCTTCCTAGCTGTGGGCATGAAGGACCAGGCGAGGCCCCACCGGGATGTTTGACCTTGGACAAATTCAGTGGTCTTCACAATGGTTACACCTACTTCCCAAAGCTTAGATATCAAGAGTTTGAGGTTAGCCTTCTTCCCAAGCATTGAAGTGTACCACCTAATATAATACATGATCACAAAACGATAAGTCCTGATGAATGAAAAACCAGAATGTGAAAGATCCAAAGGTTTATTTGGGTACAATTACCTGAATCTTTGCCTCAGTACAGTGCTATCTTCGATAATACGAGACACAAAAGCTTGCTCCCCACCATTGCAAACCATCTCCTCAGGAGTTCCACCGCATGAAGTTTTAGGATTAAGTCCTGATTCTTCGAAGGTCTCAAAAAATGGAGGATTGGACATACAGAAGTCGAACGTTTCATTTTCCTTGACAACACCGAGTAATACAGCTGGTTCAGTATAGCTCTTGTTGCCATCTACAAGATAATCAGACTGAACCGTGGGGGAAATTTCGGCTTCCTCCTGTATGGTTAACTCACTCTCGCAATTTTCAACCTCGGGGACAGAAGAACTCTGTGGAAGAACTTTAGAGTCTCTGATCTCGATAAGGTCTGAAATATGGGGATTACTTTTGACATTCTTCTCAGCCCATTCTAGAGCAACATCAGTAAAATCTGCGTACAAAACAACAATGACACCAAATTGAGAACATAAAGCCAACTACTAAAGAAGCTAAGCGTAATGCAAATGAAGAATGATAAAAGAAGAAGAAGAAGAAGAAGAAGAAGAAGAAGAAGAAACCTGAGCCAACAAAACTCCAGCCAAAAAGAGATGCACCAAGGAGAGGATAAATGCAATTGGCCCCTGTGCCAATGTCAAAGCCCTTTACTTTGCTTCCATCACCACCCAAACTTTGAATGACCTCAGAGGACAAAAGATCATTGATCCAATGAATGTAATTCGATCTATTAGGAACAGTTGGGCAAAGCTGTCCATCAGGAATCCACCTATACATAAATGAAAAGACTTTGTTGGTACATAACTGTTCTTCAGAGCAAAACAAAGCTAGTTCCTTTGTACAGTTGAAACATACCAGTTGACGCCATGGTCATGTAGGAGGAGGATACGAGTGAGCTCTCTGGTTGCGTTGTAATCGGTCCAGTCGATGCGAGCTCGACCACCGGAGAAGAAAACAAAGGGCTTGAAAGAAGGGTAAAGAGACGCTAACGAGGCAAAATCGGGTGGGTTATCGGAGTATTTGTTTCGCGGTTGCTTTGTGGTTCCAGGTTCTGAGCGAGCTCTCTTCTTCCCGTTACGCATCGAAACCCTAAGCCGCCGGTGAAGTTGGTGAGAGAGAAGACAACGGCGGTGAATTGGAGTCAAGGCGTTTAAAGCCTCTGGCTGAGTTAGTGGCTTTGAGAGAGTTAGCCGGAGATTATATTGCATTCCCAGAGGGTTTAGGTTTTATTAATTACTTTTGGCTCAAATAAGACTCTTTTGTTAGTATTAACTTATTTAAGTATTGTTTTATATTTTTAAATTAAATATCGTTTCATATTTTAAAATTTTAATAAATATTCACTTTTATTCAATGTGATTTTAATTAATTAACCAATGGAAAAATAATATAATGTACTAACAGAAAATGCAAAAAAAAAGAAGATGTTTTCATAAAATGTATGAAAAAAATCTTAAACGACATTTATTACAAAAATACAAATTAATCATATACCAGGTACATGTTTAGAAAATAAAGAAAACATCAAAAAGATTTATGAATAAAACTCTAAATATCTCCAAACGGTTTTTTTTTTTTTGCTTCCATTGGCCCCTAAAGATATTTAGAATTTTATTAAAATCCAAAGTTAGAACTCTTTTAGGTGAGTTAAGAGTTTTATTCAACTTTGGTCTCAAATTCATCAAAAGGGTTTTTATATATGCATTACTGAAACAAATGGCATCCCCAAAACTAATGATAGACATAACAAAATTGTCAATTTATCAAAAAATATTTAATATTAAACCGAAAAAATTAGCGTCATAATTATGCGGTAGTGGACAAAAGTCCTGATAAACTCGGATACCATGTCTTCATGTGTATTGGTAAAATAAGATGTGCTTTGTAAGAAAACTTTTGCTTGTCTCTCAAAAATAAAGCTTTCGGTGAAACGATCCAACAGTGCTTTTGGAAAGGTAACAAACATGAATGACATATTTAAAATTATACAACATAATCTTGCTACAAACTTTTGTCAATAATATGTTATATTATATAATTTTTTACAAACTTTTATAAACATTATGCTTGTAAATTCATGCACACACCTTGTAAAATGCAATGATGAATAGTTTTCACTTTAATTGAATATATTTTAAAGTTAATGAAGTCATATTTTAACTATAGTTTTCCAAATTCTTTCATTTATTTTATTTGCAATCATAATTTTTTTACTAAACTCAATCGATGTTAGAAAAAATGGTTATGAGACCTACCTATAATAACAATATACTTTGTAACATATATATCTCAATATTCAAAGATACATGATCTTCACCACGATTAAATTGTACTTGTTTTGTGCAAAAAATATGTTTAAAGTATTTTATTAGGTTTACCTACAAAAATGAATCAACAATGCTTATGGAAAAGCAATGGAATTACTCTTCATAGCTCTAACAATTTCTTATTTTTCTATGACTTAGTTTAAGTAAGCATGAATTAGCAAGACAATAAATCGCTTATAACTTAAAATATACTTTAGCATGACATTTAAACTTTAGCATGAATGTCATCGCTACAACTATACTGCATAATATTTACTACAAAGTTTAGAAGTCATATCATAAACTTATGCATATATAAGTTGTAAAATTGTAAGGATGGGTAGATTCTTACCAAATAAAACATACTTCCAAGTTGATAAGGTCACACTTCAACTAAAATATTTCTAATTTTTATTTGAACTGAAATTTTAAATGTAGTTTAATAGTATCATAATTACTTTATATTATTATTTTAGTTAATTTGTTAGCCGATCCAAATTCTTTTTTGGTTTGTAGTCCATTTGCTCCTTTCGTTTTTAGTCCATGTGTTCTGATAGCTTAAAGTATCAAAACTCAACAATAATTTTTTTTTACATGTTATTCATTTAGATGATACAAATTAAAGAGTTAGACGTCTTCAATATACAATGGTATGATATGGTTTTCTATTCGCAAGTAAAAAGTTAATCATGATCAAACTTACATGAAAGGAACATGATTCCATGACCCTACACGTAAATAGAAACGGAGAAGATCACATATCTAAGTCTTAAAACCCTTGGCGATTGAAATGATTTGCAAAACACAAACACATTTCACACTTTCCTAAATTTAAAAGAGACATTTTAAGCTCAATCGCTTATTTAAATATTGGTAGATAGAATCATAATTGATACTACTAAATAGTGGCCACAATCTACTAGTAAGACAATAAATGAACCAGACATTATTAACTAAACTCATCTTTTCATTGAATTATTTTGGGTAAAACTAAAGATTTCAAAATTGGATACATGTATTTATTTGTTTGGAAAGCGTAAATGCGCATTGACAAGTCCCATCGTCATGTCATTTGGACTATGGGCGTTACACTTTTGACTACTCTTTTGAGATCTTGACCAAAATAATAATTTAAAAAAGGTCTGGGGTTACTATGTGAAAATACACTATTTACTGGTACGAGAGCGTAAATAAAATAAAAATAAAAGAAACGGCACGCAGTTTGCGTTCCCAAAAATGTGGGACGACTAGTCAAAATATCTGCTTACGTCCGTCAACTTTAATGTTGACTGAACCAGAATATAAAAGTATTTGTCTTTTGCCCATTGTACCCTTCACATCTGTTAGATCTTTTCGGGAGAAGAAGATAAGCTTTGAATAATTTTTTAAAATATATTTTAAAATTCAACTCTTAGATTTGAATCTAACGGCTGATAAGCCTCCTGCAAAGCATCCCCAACCGTCCAGATCAAAGCTGGCCCATCGCATCCTTTAGTTTCCCGAAAAGGAAAAAATAATACAATCTCGAACATTAGCCTGGCCCACTTTTTTAATTATAAATTTTCCTTTTTAATATATTGTCAATTTTACTATTCAAACAAATTCGTATTTCTTTAAGTAAAATTTCTAAAAAAGTTTTTGTGTATTGGAAAAAGTCAAGAAAATTATGCAGAAAAATAGAAATATTCAATTTTAAATTGGAAAATATCAAAATACGTACGTTAAAAATGGGAATATGAAAAGATTTTGAATACAAAAAAGTAAAGAATATAAGTAAATAATGACGTGGCAGTGATACCCTTTGCCTTTGCACACATCTCTCGCAGATATAAACAGCGTCTGCTTCACGCCAAAGGAGAGAGAGAGAAAAAAGATCTGATCGGAGAGTTCGCCGGAGAGATTTTGAATCAGAATGAGCGGCGGCGACGAAAACATGAGTGGTGGAGAGAGACGCAAGGGATCGGTGAAGTGGTTTGATACACAGAAGGGGTTTGGTTTCATCACACCTAACGACGGTGGTGACGATCTCTTCGTTCACCAGTCTTCCATCAGATCTGAAGGATTTCGTAGCCTCGCCGCTGATGAATCTGTTGAGTTCGAGGTTGAGGTTGACAACACCGGCCGTCCCAAAGCTGTTGAAGTGTCTGGACCCGACGGTGCTCCCGTTCAGGGAAATAGCGGTGGTGGTTCATCTGGTGGACGCGGTGGTTTTGGCGGTGGTGGAAGAGGAGGCGGACGTGGTGGTGGAGGTTACGGAGGAGGCGGTGGTTATGGTGGTAGAGGAAGCGGTGGCCGTGGAGGAGGTGGCGGTGATAATTCTTGCTTTAAGTGCGGTGAACCTGGTCACATGGCGAGAGAATGCTCTCAAGGTGGTGGTGGTGGTGGCTACGGAGGTGGTGGTGGTGGTGGAAGGTACGGGTCTGGCGGCGGAGGTGGTGGAAGCTGCTACAGCTGTGGAGAGTCTGGGCATTTTGCAAGGGATTGCACTAGCGGTGGTGGTGGTCGTTGAAGCAAACCAGACGGTGAAGAAGGGGTAAATCAGTCATCTCATACATGAAATCGATCCCTCTTCTCACTGACTTCTATCAAAATATTATCTATCTTTTGTTATTCGACTCTCTCATGTTTTCGGGTTTATTTAATTAGGACTTGTGGTTATGGTTATGGTGCCTTGTGATTTGATTAAGAAGTTGGATTGGTTTAATTGCATGTTTATCATACCTTTTGCTCATGTGTCTCTCTACAAGTCCTTGCTCTATTTCAAGCCTTTCAATTTATAATGGGTACACATTTTGTTGTCTACGAAGAAGACTACAATGATTTTGTTTTCTTGATGAAAGATTTGGCATTACTCCTAAAGTTTTGTTTTTTTCTTCTTTAATTTCCAAACATGAAATACAATAGAAACAGACCAAACTTCAGATGATGCTAAACGAGAACACCCAAAACACTACGGTCTTGCTTGATTTAAAACGAACCCAAATCTCTAAATCTTCTGATCCGTGGAAAAACGCCAACTTTCGTGGCAGCTGGGAACACTCTTGGGCTTGCTCTAGATTCGATGCTTATAATTCAAAGGCCATGAGTGTGATTGAAGTGAGGATGGCTGATTGGAGGAGGTGAGGCCATAACCGGTGGAGGGCATTGGTAGCATTTGGTGAAGAGGCCAAAGGTGTCAATCTGGTGAACAAAATTGATCATACTAGCCCAACCACCGAACCCGAATCCAACAATGAACACCCACACAACTATGAAGGCGTTGATGGTGAAAGCCCCAGTCCACCGTCCTAGAAACCTCGGCGGCTGCTCCACGGCATTTTCACGTGCGGCGGAGGAGCGGAAGGTGAAGATGTGAGCTAGTGCAGGGATGATGTAGACAGTGAAGCTGACGAGTAGAGATCCAACAGTTGAGTTAATGGGACCAAAGAACGGGAATATGATAGCAAGGAACCAAATGGGTATAACAACAGGAAGCCTCGCGGCGGCTCGTTTACACATGCTTCGGCACTCATGCATCCCTATAAGCTTCTCCCACACAAAGTAGAGTGGCGTGCAAGCAAAACCAAAGGTAATGAACTGATGGATGAGCATAAGCACAACTGCAAAGTCACGGTAAAGATTCTTTGGGAGAAGAGCAAATGCGTTTGAATGGTTTAGAAGCAAATCACCAAACGCCCAATAAACCGCAGACGCAGAAGGCAGCGTTAGCGTCAGCACGTAGAGTGTTGCAAAGAGGTATATGGACTTGAACTTTTGCGGTTTCCACATAGCATGCATTATTTCTCTGCCAACAACAACAACAACACAAAACAATGAAAGTGAGTGGTCATTTTCATCAATCTGTAATTCCAGTTATACCCTTAGGATATGTGAATCGTGATGGGGTTAAAATGGTAAGAGAAAAGGAACATACACAGTAACAGCATGTCCACCGAATGTGTAAAGAATGTTTGTGGCCCCTGTGAAGTATAAAACCAGCTTGCTTGGTCCTGAATGCTTCACTCCTTGTACCTATTTTTATTATTCCAACATTACATATTATTATTCTTCTTCTATAAGAAAATTCAATTATCTACAACTCTACAAGTATCATTTATGCATTAAACTAAGTCTGACACACCAATGTTATAGGTTTGGGTAAAGTGGTCCCAAACCACATGTTGCTTGAAACACAAGTGCCAAAAGACATAAGCAAGAAGACAACTTTGTTGATGTTTTTGAGTCCCCTTAAGCCACAACATCACCAGCTATTCTAATCTTTAACCATTGAAACTAATTAGAAAATAAGAAAGAATTACCTGTCCATGGAGGATGGAGGCAATGGTGAGGTACCAAGCAGTGTAAGTGGTCATCAAGAGTCCAAGAAAAGACCAGATCCTGTAGTTGTGGAAGGAAGGAATGAAGACTGTGGTTGCACAACATGCTCCAAATATGTATGTCCATGTCCTCTTGTCCAGATTATCATTTATGTAATATATGTTGCTGCAAAACAATACATTCATTAACCATTATACCACATCATTAGTACTCTCAGTTTCATATAGAAGTATGCTAATCTTCCTCAAGAAAGAACTGTTACCTGGCACAAGCTATGAGTTGAATGACAGATCCAAAGAGAAGGAAGGTGCAGTTAAAAGCTAAACCAACATTCCTCCAATGCTTCCCAAGCAATCCATCAAGAACCTCAAACCACTTCACATTAACCAACATGTCAAATATTTTTGTTCAAGAAAAGAAGATGAATAATAGAAAAGATGAGTAAACAAACCTGAATGACATGGTTTCTGAAGTTAACTTTCTCTCTCTCCTTTCTAGTTCTATATTCAACATAAAGAATGCTGATGAGGTAAGCAGTCCAACTACCTAAGATGCCATAGAAGAGCTGAAACAGAATCCCTGAGAGCATCCCCAGCTGTGAGAACGAGTATGGAAGTGTCAACAGCACTTGTGCCACCTATATAACAACACATTCACGAATCATGTATAATCAGAGAGACTCAAAAGAACAAAACTTGTTCATCAGAGAGAGAAAAAGCTAACCTGATTGGAAGCACAACTGAACCAAGCATCATAAGCAGAGCCACCATGCCAAAACATGTCAGAGAGCTTAGATTTGATGTCTGAAGCTTTGCCATCCTTCTCCATCTCAACATAGTTCCCAACAACAACAGTCTCAGCTGCTTTCTCACCGTTCTCCATCTCTCTATATAACTCTCTTTGTGATGAAGAGTGAATGGAGAAGAGATGTGAATATATATATAGAGAGAAAGAAAGAAAGAAAGAAAAATAGAGAAGAGTGTTGTGTAGACAGAGAGGGAGACACGGAAGTAGTTTTTCAAGGCAAGATGATGAGAGAAGCTTAACTCTCTTTGTTTTTTGATAGCTACTTGTGAGAGTTTATGTTTCGGGAGTGACAACAACAACAACATCGAATCAATTCATACATACTACTTGTATTACTGTTTCCATTAAAGTATTTTCTCCCACAATAAATATCTATTTATTTATTAATTATTAATTTATTATAAGTAACCATTGATCAATAGTAATTTATTACCAAACCTAACAAAATAAGTTTTACTGTTACCATCAATATTACTCTTATTGAATTATTTTTATCCATGAAAAACTTGGGATATTTTGAAAAGGGTATTTAGTCAAATTAAAGATGTATTGTGTTGGATTTTTGTCAAAATAAAAATAAAAAATGAAGCCTTGATTTTAATTTTATTAAATATAGGACGAAAGTGTGATTTAATTCCATTAGATGATAAAAAGGGGTGATTATTTTATATTTTTAACTCTATTGTTCGCCGGCTAAAATTTGTACTACAAGTCTTTATTTAAGTACTGATTTCTTGTTTTATATCAATGTCTAATAAGTACTGTTTTGTTGTTTTTATCAGCAAATTAATAGTACTAAAATTAAGCGGAATCACATGGTTTAGCGGCGAGTCACGTTTTGCTCGCACGAGTGGGCTTTCGTTTCTCGAGCAAATTATTCGTTTACTATATTATTCTTTAAGCTATTCGTTAAAACAAAACATTTTCATTAATTTGGCTATAAGTTGAGTATACTATATATTAATTGAAATGAAATATTATTATACGAAAGGAAATTCTGTATAAACATAAAAACAAAAATTATTTGAAAAGAAGACAAAAGTTTGAATGAAAAATCTGCTATATAGTACATTAATATTCTCCCATGATTCGAACAAAACATTTTGTAAATATCGATGTTGCTTATACAAGTACCTCTTGTATTTATTGCTCTAGATTTTGCTTTTTCTACATTTCATGATTTTAATAGAGATACTGCCTTTACACTACAGACTTAGACTTACAGCTGTAAATAATGGGCTGTCAAATTCAATGCAAAACCAAAAATTTTTACTTTTACTACCTACATATATAGTGTATTATGTATCATGAAACTTTACATTTAATCTTTTTTTTTCGTAAGTAGTGACCAAAGTAGATGAATGAAGGAACATAAAAGTCTGTACACCTAAAATTAAGGGAAATCAAACCAGGTTCAATTATCTCTATTGCTGAAATAGTAGCTTTTTCTAATGATGTATTAACAAATTAGTTCTGGAAAAAAAATAAAAAATGATAGAAGTAATTTGTTTTCCCAAACTAAGCAAAACGAACTGAAACTCTAATATAAAACTTTTGCAGCAAACAATGTATAAATCTTTTAAAACAAAACGTCAGTAAAAATGTGCCTTTAATCTCATACGTCAAATATTTTTGATTTATTTACTTCAGTAATAACTTAGTATTGTATTGTTTGTCTAAATAAAATCTTCACTCTTGATATTTCACAAATTTCGCCAATGATTAATATCATGAAAAATAGATAGATATGTAAATAATATATTTTCATGATATCTTATGTACGAGGGAAAACAAAGAAGAAGCATAGATAATTGAAATATATTTTCATAAGAAAGAAAAAATAGAGAATAATAAGAAAGTAGACCGAATCATTGCAAGAAAACAAGCGTGGTCGCTTTTATAATAAGAGGTAAGTTCGCTTTTATCACATGCCCCATTCCTCTCTCTGAAATTTGTGCTCTTTCTTATTATTCTCAATTTATACACTAAAACCTAGTATATCACATTGATCTCATCAATTTTATTTCTTTCGATCTATCTATGGTGCAAATTAGTTTAACTCAATGCACTACTGATTATAGGAAAATTAACTTTGAAATTCCATTAATTTCCTAAAAGATGCATATATGTTGTGAATATGTGAAGGTAGGTAACTAATATCTATTCTATGAACGAGATGTCGAGATGATTTAGTTTTTTTTTGTCATTTCATTGACGAAAGCATATAAGTAACTGCGTAAGGCAAACCAATACAAACAGGTAGACAACCACAAGATAAAACCAAATATATTTCTTATTAGATTTATGTGGTCTCAAAAACAGACATCTTTTGTTTGTTAATGCCTATGTTAATATTCATGTTCTCATTCAAATGCATTGACTCAAAACAAAAATATTTATACAACAACAATTTAATTTCAAGTTTACTGTCTTTTTCCAAGTGAACGTTGTTTCTTTCTTTAGATTCTCTTCATGAGTCTGAGTAAATATATATGTATATTTTTTTGTGCTGCTTATTTTTTCTTTATTAAATAAGAGGTGATAACCTCTTCATGACCTCATTGAGGTGCTTTTGTGATGCTAATATTATGTGAGAAACTAAGAATCTCAAAATTTTATTTTTATACATATTTGATATATAATCGTGATGGTGAACTTATAATGCTCTATAATCATCATATTATAACAAAATAGTTGAATTTAGAAGTCACTTGTTGCATCTTTTCATATACATGTAGACATATTTATTATTTATGACCCTATCATCATATCTCATAATGGGCTTGTCTTTTCAATAATTATAATTCTATGAAACAAATATAGCATTGTTAGAAATAATGACAAATGAGCATGCATGACAGCATGAGTCTTTTAGCCCCCTTTTTTTATTATCATAATTCTTTGCAAATATTTTTGAAGGGCAACGATATAAAGAAAAATGAGTTACTTAATGAAACAAATTTTTCTGTGGTAATTGATTCTAAAATATACAGTTAAAATATGTTTAGATAACTCTCTATACATAGTTATATTTGAGAGCAATAGTAAGCAAGTGTTTCTGCATAATAAAATATCAAAACATGGCTATAATTTCACAAGTAATAATAATGTGGACTCAAGTAATAATAATATTATTATTTCACAAGTAATAATAATTTCACAAGCATTGAGTGTTAGACTGTTAGAGAAAATGCCTAAGGCACACTTTCTTCTCTGTTTTTTTTTAAAAGACTCCAATTGGTAATATTGCGTAATCGTATAATGACATAAGTTGTAGAATAAAAATTTGCAGAATAAAATTATTTAAAAAAGTATGTTGATTGAATACATTTTGTGTAATGGTAGAATATAATATTATATCACTAATATATACTTATATTCAATAAGCAAAAAAATATTTTAATAAAATTTGAGTAATATTTGATAATAAATATTAAAACTTGTTAAAAAGTTGTAAAATTTTAAATATTATTTGAAAATGGTATAAATTTCATTGTAAATGATTATTTTGTTACTTTTCTAATTGCTAATATTTTGTATGGATAAAATAATAAAATTTTATCATGCAAATAAGCGACTATATACCCATTTATTTGCATAATGAGTTCTTACTTCTATTTTTAGGCGAAAAAACAAATCTTATGTTTTTCCGTTTTCTAATGCCGTCATGCAAATTTTCTTGATTGGCATTTTTTTTTATAATCGCATTAAAAAACGTAATTCCACCATTATGCGATTACTAATGGGTGATAGTGAAACAATTTCAAATTAACACTGTATTTTTATGCTCTCCTTGTCTCCTTCACCATAACTACATTTAATATTCTTATCCATTTTTATTTATTGCAAAATCTGCTCATAAAGCTGAGTAGTATTATTTATAACTGCAAAGAAGAAAAAAGCTGAGTATTAATTCTAGTTAATAAAACTTGTTCTTGTGTGTAGACAAAGGAAAAGACTGTCTAAGCAGTAAATACGAAATACTTTTTATGAGTTTGTTGGTCTGAAACTGATTAGACCTGGTCAAACCAAAAGCTCCTTTTTAATCAATCTTTTGAAAAAAATGTTAATATTGCCTCCTGAGCCACGCCTTTTACCACTACTTACCATAATAAAGACAGAGAACAACATATGTGTATGTTCCATCATAATTTAGATTCCCATTTGTTTGTTTGTCATCAACCACAATCATTTTCAATTTCCCCTCTGTCCTCTTTTTTACCAGACAAATCTCAGAGAAGATTAATCTACAAGCATTTTAAATGTTTGTCTCTATATATCCCTTAATAATCTATTTTATTTTATGTATATATATATTGTTAAATTTCAGTTATTTTAATAATAATTATTAATTATAGCTTGTGAATATGGCCCAAGTCCAACAAAGAACCCATATTACAATGTTTAGGTCCAAAAAGCCGAAAACTATAAATAATTAACAGCCCATATAGCCAGTGAGACTCGTCGAGCTCGTGTCCTTATTATTAGAAAACGTCACAACATCCCTTTCAAGTTTCAAGTGTTTTGTTATTATTTTGCAACAACCCGGCCGATTTAATTTTCCTTTGGTCGGAACTTGCAAGCAATCTTGAGCTCTTCCGGGGGTTTGTCGCCGGCGAATCCAGCGTCAACCCAAGCCGAGTAGCCTCCCCCCATGTTAGCCACATGCTCGTACCCCTACCGCGACATACATAGATATATATATAGACACTTAAGTATGGTGTATTTTTGTATAGATACATTATTAAATGTGTGTAGACTCACCGCATTGAGAAGATCAACACAAGCACGACTTCCTCTTCCTCCAGCGTTACAAGCCTTCACCATATCATATTTAGTATAAGGAAACAGTCTTAACTAAAATTTAATCTAATGTTTGAAAATATATGTTATCACTAATTAGATTCTAACCACGATCATATGTTCATCTTTCTTGCAAACCGATGCCACTTGAGGAAGGAAATCAGGATTTATAACCCTACCTACAAAAAACCATCCACAATAATTGTTTCTAAGTTTTATTTGTGATCGAATATTTACAATGAAACTCTTGCTAAATTAAAACTCACCTTCATCTGTTTGGAACATATAAGGAATGTTCAAAGCATCCTCAACATGACTCTTCGCGAATTCTTCATTTGTCCTATACAATTTACCGACAAAAATCAATTAGATTAACAAGAAGAATTTAAACGAAATGATATGTTCTTTAGTCTTTACTTTTTATAAGATATTTACCTTACATCGAGATATCGATGACCAGTACTAAGAAAGCCTTTAGCTGTGTAAACATCAACCGTCTCAACATCTTCAACTCTGTAAAAACCAAAATTGACAAAATATATACTTGAATACGTACATACGAAATTGTTCATAAAAATCAATACTCAACATAGAAATTTGTTATTCTTGACTCACGTCTTTGGTTTTGTTTCCGCCATAAGAAAACCTTCGTTTGATCTGTCTTCTGCTATGATAAAGGTTGAAGAGAGGATATGTATACATAAAAGTTACAATTATTCAACTTGATCATGTGTATTTATTAATTTAATCAAGTTGAAATTGTATAGAAATTAAAACAGAAGTTGACCAACTATTATGTATTGATCGTGAAACTTGAAGGTAGAGAACAAGAAGCGGGTCTCACGATTTATAGGGTATATATGCATTTTAAAAGTCATATTATTTGAGCTTCAGAATCCAAGAACAAGTCTTCCATTTCTCCCCTTCAAATACAGAACAATGGAAGCACATGACGTATTCGGTTTCGAGTATGCCTTGATCTTCTTTCATATATGATACTGTTTAATTGCAAATAATTTTTTGAGACATATTCTCGCTAAAAAATGAGCAGTGAAAACAGAGAGTCACACTACCGAATATCATAGAGAAGAGAAGTTGAAAACACACAAACCAAATCAAAGAAGGCTCTGCAAATCTGAATGTTGGTTTTAAGAGTTAAAGCCCATTTTGTGTCACAAAGTTTTTAACAACATCAAACCAATTATCTCTTTGTTTGTTCTCGAATCGAATCAGAAATCAAGAGACAGTTCGCCACTCAAGCTCGATTTGGATCTTGCCGTTCTTAGAATCAATAAGGTGAAACTTCTGATTCATCCTTTTGTTGTTCACCACGTCCACCACCGGAATATCCACGTACCCCAGTGTTTCCTGTCCATCAACAACCACTTTTAGATTAGACCAACACAAACAACACTTGCTACTGTTACTGTGAGTGGAACGAGCGTGTTACCTTGGGATGCAATAAACCTATCCTGGAAGAGTTGCTCAGCACTTCCACGTGCAGCTTCTCATGGACTGGAGGCTCCTCGAGTATGAAGGAGAACTCCTCATTCCACCTTGGGTCTCTGTTCTTCTTCACGTGCTTCGTTTTTCTCTCCTCCCCTTTGAAATAAATGCGCACGTAAGGATTCGTATGGTGCTTTCCTTCAACATCCTCAGCCGAATGCACCATTACCACAAGCATTCCTCCAGCAGCCGGTGTGCCTTCTGGAGCTTTCTCTACAGCTTGCATTTCTTCCTCCGTGAATGGCTTAAACGAGAGTTCGACCTCCAGCTTCCCCCTATCAGTCTGCCTTTCTTCACCGCCGTCCAGCGTCTTACGCAGTTCCAAGGTGAATGCTTTATGTTCGTTAGACACCATTTCTTTCAGAGCTAATACATTCATACCCATCTTATCGTGCTTCCCAACCTGCGTTGCAAAAAAAAATATTACATATATATATCCTACTCCACGTCACCTATTACCCTTTGGATAGCTTTTTACCTGTTCCCAGTCATACACATTGAACTCTAGAACCTGAGTTTGGGGATCTTGGACTGAGAATTTGAACTCCTCATTCCATTCAGGATTCAAATTCTTGTGTTTAACTGTTGTCTTCTTAGAAGGAATCTTATCTTCAGATAGCTTGATTTCCACGTATGGATCTGTCGTACCCATCAGACCAGTTTTCCTCAGCCCCACAGCCTTCACAACTTTCACATGGACGATTCCAACATGCCTTCTGAATGCTCTGCAGATTATAAATTAAGATTTGCTCAGCATATATGGATTTAAGACATGGATTGACTATACAAAAGAAAAAGGGACATGACATACTTCGCAGGGTCAAGGTTTGGAACTACAAGGGTCTTAGGCGAGAGATACATGTTCGCAACTTGATCCTTGATTTGCTCCTGAAACAGTTAACGCAGCAGCGGAATTATAAATGAATATTTGATCCTGTAGAAACGTAAAAGCTAGGAGACCAAACCACTTGTTGGATAATATAAGACTTGAAGAAGAAGCTTCTAGAGATAAGAGAGGATATACACAAATAAGTTTTAGATAATAACAAAGTATTTAGATAAGTTTTGTGTTTAACATAATCCAAATAGAATTGGGAGATGCCCAAGTTCTATATAAATACAAGAGTCCATGGAGATGTTCTATGAGACTTAGAGAAAAGATTTAGTTTGAGAGAGTTTTCTAAATCTAATAAAGAAGTGTTGTTCTTTATAATTCTAAGTTCTAGCAATCGTAACTTTGACCACTTTCACCAAATAGGAGACTGAATATCCAATACATATAAATTGGCCACACAAGATGTCACAGTTTCATCTGCCATTCAGCCATAAGAAGATTGAAATAAATCCTCTTCCTGAAACTAGACTAAATAGAGTGAGTAGCCCCTATAATGATCAATCATATTCATACCTCTCCCTCAAAAATAAATTTCTTACATACACAGTGGCGGATCCAAAGCATCTTTTTATCTCGGGGCACAATTATATAAACTAAATTTATTAAAGAAAATATAGTGTTATTAAAAAAAACTTGTAATAAAACAAAATTTACCAATGCATCCTACTTTGTTCCATATTTTGGAACCTTTTCATCACTTCTTCTTTCATCAATTGATCAAACAATTTTTTTACGATAAAACAAACTAAACAATCGTTTAGAAATTGATCACATAATCGGTTACATAAGGTAGTCTTCACAAACTTCATTGCAGAGAAGCATCTTTTAACATATTAGAAATCAATAGTACATAATTAGGATTTCAAATTATTGAATGAAAAAGAAAAACAAATAATAGCATGATTCATAAACCAAATGAATAAATTTTATGCAGTTAATTATAATTATATTGATTTCATTATTCAATATAAATATCTAAAAATCGTGTTTTGCAATAGTATGAAATTAATTATACATAATTCACTTGCATTGGTCATGATTTGTTATGCGTCGTTTGTGTTGCTACGGCTTGAAGATAAGAAAGAAAACGATGAACTAATGATGATTCAATAAGAAAGAAAATTTGTTTCTATAAAATTAGGTCAATGATGGTAAGCCATTGATCGTTTCAACTTCTTCTTATTCTTTCAATGGGCTATTAAGCTGTATAAAATTTTGGATAAAGAAACAAATTTATATAGCTGTGGAATTAATAAAAAAATTGGACTTTTTTCTTGAGAAAATTTGTTAATTTATATAACTATGAGAAGAAAAAAAAACAGTATAAGGCATGTGCCTACTCTCCTCATGCTGTAGGTCCGCCTATGCTCATACAAGTCAGGGATTTGAATGATGTAAGAGAAAGATATCAACCTGAACAAATCTGTAGTGGCCAGGTATTTCCTTTGGGCGGAACTTGCAAGCAATCTTGAGGTCTTCTGGGGGTTTGTCGCCGGCGAATCCAGCGTCAACCCAAGCCGAGTAGCCTCCCCTCATGTTAGCCACATGCTCGTACCCCTACCGAGACATACATAGAAATATATACACACTTAAGTATGGTGTATATTTGTATAGATACATTATTAAATGTGTCTTGACTCACCGCATTGAGAAGATCAGCACAAGCACGACTTCCTCTTCCTCCAGCGTTACAAGCCTTCATCATATCATATTTAGTATAAGGAAATAGTCTTAACTAAAATTTAATCTAATGTTTGAAAATATATGTTATCACTAATTAGATTCAAACCACGATCATATGTTCATCTTTCTTGCAAACCGATGCCACTTGAGGAAGGAAATCAGGATTTATAACCCTACCTACAAAAAACCATTCACAATAATTGTTTCTAAGTTTTATTTGTGATCGAATATTTAAAATGAAACTCTTGCTAAATTTAAACTCACCTTCATCTGTTTGTAACATATAAGGAATGTTCAAAGCATCCTCAACATGACTCTTGGCGAATTCTTCATTTGTCCTACAATTTACCGACAAAAATCAATAAGATTAACTTGATATATTTCAACAAGAAGAATTCAAACAAAATGATATTTTCTTAAAGATATTTACCTTACATCGAGATATCGATGACCAATACAAAGAAAGCCTTTAGCTGCGTAAACATCAACCGTCTCAACATCTTCAACTCTGTAAAAACAAATTGACAATAGAACCCTAAAATATACTTGAACACATACATAAACGTATAAATTTTTTTTTTCTCGACTCACGTCTTTGGTTTTGTTTCCTCCATAAGAAAGCCTTCGGTTTATCTTTTTTTTTTTTTTCTCCATAAGGTTGAAGAGAAGGATATGTATACATACAAGTTACAATTATTAAACTTGATCAACCATAGATCAACTTGATCACATTTTTTTTTTCTGGTTTATTTGATATGTATTTTTTAATTTAATCAAGTTGAAATTTGTATAGAAATTAAAACAGAAGTTGACCAACTATTATTTTATTATTTTGTATTACAACTTCAGAATCCAAGAACAAGTCTTCCATTTCTTCGCTTCAAAAACATGATGTATTCGGTAGGCTTGGGCATTCAGATTTCGGATCGGATTCAGTTCAGATTTTTTCGGATTCGGATAATTTGGATGGAGGAGTTTATTATCCGTTCGGATTTAAGACTATTCGGTTCGGATGGTGTCGGATTCGGATCGGTTTCAGAGAAAAAAAACTAAAAAATTTGTAAAATTTTAATAAAAATTGGTTTAATAAGTAAAAAGTTTTAGATATCTAGGTTATTTCGGATATTTTTGTTATTTATTATTTTTGGGTATAAAATTATAATTAAATATAACTAATATTTTTGGATGTATAATTTTATTTTGGGTTAGCGGATATCTTTTGGTTTTCGATTCTGATCGGATTTGGTTCGGGTAATTCGGGTAGGAGAATTCATAAACCGTTCGGGTTTTGTGACTATTCGGTTCGGTTTCGGAACCGGATTTTTCGGATCAGTTTTTGAATTTCGGGTTTTATGCCCAGCAGCCCTAGTATTCAGTTTCGAATATGCATTGATATTCGATCATATATGAATGGTACTGTTCAATTGCAAATAATTTTTTTGAGACATGTTGGCTTTGTTCTTTTTACAGTCGTGCGATTCAAAGCTGCGACTAAATTTTGTAATTTTTTTTTAACATGAGAGTTTTGTGATAATGAGTATTTTAAGGGATATATTTATAAATTAGTAAATTCCCAACAAAAATATCGACTTTTAGTCAACAACTTTTAATTAAAAATCAAAAGAACCATTCCTGGAGAATGTTGTTTACATAAGTGATATCGACTTTTACGCTGGAAAAGAAGATAAGATTCTACAGATTTGCAAATCTCTATTAATGGTAATTCGAATATTAAAATCCAGCAACTCTGCTTTTAAATTTAAGTTTGGGTCGTGTTGCTGTTTTTTCCCGCGATTCCGAAATCTTCAAATTGAAGTCGTTCCGACAGAAATTAAGGAAGATGAAAAAAAAATCGAGGAATAGTAAAGACAAAATTTTTTTTATCGTAAGCAGCTGTCGTGCGACTCTCCCGAACATATGAGCAGTGGAAACAGAGAGTCACACTACCGAATACCATAGAAAAGACACAAATCCAAATAAAAGAAGGCTCTGCAAATCTGAATGTTGGTTTTAAGAGTTAAAGCCCATTTTGTACAACAACACAAGAGTTTTTAACAACATCAAACCAATTATCTCTTTGTTTGTTCTCGAATCGAATCAGAAATCAAGAGGCAGTTCGCCACTCAAGCTCGATTTGGATCTTTCCGTTCTTAGAATCAATAAGGTGAAACTTCTGATTCATCCTTTTGTTGTTCACCACGTCCACCACCGGAATATCCACGTACCCCAGTGTTTCCTGTCCATCAACAACCACTTTTAGATTAGACCAACACAAACAACACTTGCTACTGTTACTGTGAGTGGAACGAGTGTGTTACCTTGGGATGCAATAAACCTATCCTGGAAGAGGTGCTCAGCACTTCCACGTGCAGCTTCTCACGGACTGGAGGCTCCTCGAGCATGAAGGAGAACTCCTCATTCCACCTTGGGTCTCTGTTCTTCTTCACGTGCTTCGTTTTTCTCTCCTCCCCTTTGAAATAGATGCGCACGTAAGGATTTGTATGGTGCTTTCCTTCAACATCCTCAGCCGAATGCACTTTTACCACAAGCATTCCTCCAGCAGCCGGTGTGCCTTCTGGAGCTTTCTGTACAGCTTGCGTTTCCTCAAAGCCTTTGGGCATTTCTTCCTCCGTGAATGGCTTATACGAGAGTTCGACCTCCAGCTTCCCCCTATACTTGTCAGTCTGCCCTTCTTCACCGCCGTCCAGAGTCTTACGCAGTTCCAAGGTGAATGCTTTATGTTCGTTAGGCACCATTTCTTTCAGAGCTAATACATTCATACCCATCTTATCGTCCTTCCCAACCTGCGTTGCAAAAACAAATATATTACATATATATCCTACTCCACGTCACCTGTCACCCTTTGGATAGCTTTTTACCTGTTCCCAGTCATACACAGTGAACTCTAGAACCTGAGTCTGGGGATCTCTGACCGAGAATTTGAACTCCTCATTCCATTCAGGATTCAAATTTTTGTGTTTAACTGTTGTCTTCTTCGAAGGAATCTTATCTTCAGAGAGCTTGATTTTCACGTATGGATCTGCCCCACCCATGAGATCTTTTTTCCTCAGTCCCACAGCCTTCACAACTTTCACATGGACGATTCCAACAGGCCTTCTGAATGCTCTGCAGATTATAAATTAAGATTTGCTCAGCAAATATGGATTTAAGACATGGACTGACTGTTCAAAAGAAAAAGGCGGAATGGCATACTTCGCAGGGTCAAGGATTGGAACTACAAGAGTCTTCGGCCAGAGATACATGTTTGCAACTTGATCCTTGATTTGCTCCTGAAACAATTAACGCAGCAGTGGAACTACAAATGAATATTTGATCCAGCAGAAACGTAAAAGCTAGGAGACCAAACCACTTTCACCAAATAAGAGACTGAATATCCAAATACGTATATATTGACCATACAAGACAAGATGTCACAGTTTCATCTGCCATTCAGCCTTAAAAGATTGAAACAAATCCTCTTCATGAAAATAGACTAAATAGAGTGAGTAGCCCCTATAATGATCAATCATACCTCTCCCTCAAAAAGAAAATTCTTACTCATACAAGTCGGGGATTTGAATGATGTAAAAGAAAGATATCAACCTGAACAAATCTGTAGAGGCCAGGGATTGACATAAGATCTGCTCCACCAAGCTTCAGTCCAAAATCAACGTGTGGCTGCCATAGTAGCAAGGAACAGTCAGAAACACAAAAGCTCTACCGACGATCTGATAATGAGGCTGACTACTACACAAATTGACCTTAAAAAGAAAAAGGTTGTATCACAGACCTTCTCCATAAGAGACACATAGATGTTGGCAAAACAAGGAAAACTTGGGACTAATGGCTTGAGAGTGATACGGGGCTGAGCAAAAACTTGCAGATCGACCACCTGAGAAAAATTCCTTGGTAAGTCAGGGATAATCATGATTGCTAATATTAAGTAGGCTGTTCCTTCTTTTAGGTAGGGTAAGCAATTAGCAGCATAATTACCTGAACTGTTGCCTTCAACCCAAATGCCTTGATGGCAACCAAGATATTGGGATTTGCGGCCCATTTCAAGCATGGTTCCATAATCAACTCGTTCTCGTCCGTGAGATAAACTTTCATCCCTGCAAAGAGAAGAATAATAGTCGTAAGTCCTGAAATCAATTCATAATCATCTTTGGCATGTGGTCTTAGTTTTTGTCACCACCATCTACCCTCCAGCTCTTAGTTCCAATATGCGAACAGGAAATTCAAGGAGAGACTGAAGATGAGAAGAAAGAATTAACCGACCTTGAAATGTAGGGGGTAAAGAGCCTAGTGTAAGTGTTTCAAATTCAACAGAGTCAATCTTGTACTTTGGTATCTGCTCCTCAATGATCGGCTTTGCTATATTCTTTGCAGTCTTACATATGGCCTACATAGATAGTTGGAGAGACCAAAATTTAGCAAATGAAGGTAAGAGAAACTGAAGAATGACAAGAACATCAGTACAAGAAAGTCCAGGTATGTAACCTTGTCGAGATAAGGCCACATGTACTCGAGAAATCTGTTAATCCAGTCAACCTGATTCATAAGACGATAGAAGGACAAACATCAGAGCCTGAGATAACAAAAAAAAAAAAAACTTGTGATGTGAAGAGTAGGGGGAAGATCACATACACGATCGAAATCGGGATTTTTGACCCATAGAGGTATCTCTGGAAGCATCCGTAGCATAGCTTTGGGATCTTGGTCAGCTATTGAACGAATTTCAAGATCCTATAAGTGCAAAAACATATTTGAAGATACGGCCATCACAAACTTAAGACTGTAAAATGACAATTCCAACTAAGACACATACACAAGTGTACCTAACACGGCACAGAAATATACCAAAATCATAAGGCAACAAGTAGTTCGATTCCATTTGCTAATCCTAATGTGGAAATAGATAGACGCATATCGATATGGAATCAGAAATACTCAAATCGCAGGAAAAAACGAACCTTGACGTCGTTGGGCAGCAAGTAGACGAATAGAACGTAACCAATAACAAGTCCCAAAGAAATCCCAACTCCAAATCCGCAAAACCCTAGTATCGTACTGAAAAAACCCATCTTGATTTCCGTTTCAGATCCCAAAACAAAACCCTTCTCTTAAAGTAACACAGATCAAGAATCTCCCTCAAGACGGAGCTTTGACGGACAGAGTTCGCCGGCGTCGGAACCGATCTGAGTGGAGATTGACTAATCGGTAAGAGAGATTAAGGAGCATTGACTGAGATCCATGGACGTGGAAATCGGAGAAGATAAACAGATGTCGTGAGAATCGTGAAGCCCAGGAGGCAAGCAAGCAAACAAAGTGTGCGTTTCGCTGCTAAAGACACGGACTCATTATTTTATTGTTTTTTTTTTCTTTGTCTTCTATTTAAAAATAAAAAATATCAGCAATTAGATGTTTTTCTATTATTCTCTCTTCGAATAATAACATCGCTTTGGGAAACCAATCTTTTCATGTTAGTATAATACTATAATAAATTAATGAAAATCTTTATTCCTTTACATAACTTTCTACATTAAGCATGTTTGATCCTATCACAATCACACATCAACTAATACGTCAATATTGTGGTTTATGGGGAAATGATACAAATATGAAATTTTTATGTTTTCAAAGAAAATTTCTCTTGTTTACGAAAACATATAATTTTGTTCTAAAAATTATATTGGGGCACATTTGGATAATTATTGGAAGAGAATGGTTATATTGGGCCATCACATGTCGATAAGAAGCCCATGAATATGACACGTGGCACATTTTAAGTGGATATTAGTGGCAATTAGGGCCCTGTGGTTGTTGATGGACCACGTAGACTCTGACTATTTTATTTACTCTCTCGTTAAGACACAAATTGCTATGCCGACACAAATTTCCGGTTTATTTAAACATGATCTTTCTCACGAACCGGTCAAACCGGGTGGTATGAAGCATAATTATTTATTTGATTAATCCACGTGGACGAAGGAACCTTACATTGCAAAAACGGCGTCGCTTTTGCGTTTCGGCGGGCAACGAAATTCAGTCTCCCGCCCCACAAAGAGAGATGTTGTTTTGTGTTCTTGAGCTTCGCTATTGGATCGAGAAATCGAAAAAATGGAAAACGACCAAGAGGATCTTGATTTGCTTCTGTCTCTTGACGATAGGGTTCTCGAAACTCCTCCTGGTTCTCCTTCTGCTGCACCCGGTGAGCTTCTCTCTCTCACATTTCTAGGGTTTTGCTTTCTTAAATCCAGTGCGCGAAGATTCTGATTCGATCAGTCACTTGCGTAATAAATTTTATGATTCGAATATTGATCTGGGTGCGTCTTGTTTCCACCAAATTCTCTCAAATATCTGTAAAGTTTGATGCTTTTCGATATTTCAATTGTTCTTGTCCTTAGTGCAATGTCATGTTTGTACAGGATATCTCACGGATGATGAATCCCCCAAGCGTAGGGGTCACTCTGACTTGTCTGACTTCAGAAGTGTTGTTCAAGATTGCATTGACTATGATCCTAAACCAGTCGCCAAAAACACTAAACCCAAAGGCTCAAACAACTCCAATGCCAACGACATTGACAAGTTTTCTGGCTTGCGCATTAGGTATATAACCAAACCCTTTTTCTTGTTTCTGAGAACCTTTTCACACTAGCAACGTCAGTCACAGCTACTATAGTTGAATAGCCAATCTTGTTGATGTATTTGTAGGAATCAATTACTTAGCCCTGCAGAGATAAGTGATCTGTTTTCAGATATCCGTTTCGTTCGATTGCCAACAATTAAGTAAGTAGTGCACTTCTTAGATAGATAAACATTACTTACTCTGAAGACATTTAATTGAAACAATTCTGTCTAGGAACTTGCTAATTGGTGACAAACTCTCTGGCTGCTGGGCGACAATGGGAGTGCTAACAGAGAAAGGACAACCCAAAACAAGTTCCATTGGTCAGCCTTATGGTATATGGAAGATCGGTAGCTTAAATGAAAACACTGTCTCCTTGTTCTTGTTTGGTGATGCTTACAAAAAGAATGAGACAGAAAAAGCGGGAACGGTTTTCGGTCTGTTGAATTGCTCAGTTCGCAAGGACAAAGGGGTAAGTATATAGCATCATCTTGTCTTGTGAGTAGCCTGATGGCTTAACTAAATCTCCTTTTTAAAAATTTATGTTTGTGGCAGGGACGTGAGTTCTCATTGAGTGTCAACTCTGCTAAACAAATGGTAAAACTGGGGGTTTCGGCTGATTATGGAGTCTGCACAGCGAAGCGGAAAGATGGAACAACTTGTACATCTGTTGTAAACAAGTAAGTTTAGTTTACCTTGGTGATGCATCCCTCTTTGTATTGTGTCTGAATGTTGAGTTACAGCTCTGAATTTGGTTTCAGGCGCCAAGGAGCATTCTGCAAGATTCATAAACTGGTACATTTTGGTAATACCTTGGTCTGGTTTTCTGGTGTCAATGCAATGAACCATGTTTTTCACTAACTATGAATTTTTCACAGAATGCATCAGACAAATTTGCTACAATGAGAACTGAACTCAAAGGAGGGTATGTTAATGCTACTAGAGTTGTGTTCATAGATTGGTCATACCTTGAGTGGGAAATTTGCATGATTCTTGGGATTTTTCTTTATTTCAGGAACTTGAGAACGGCATTCAGAGATCCTAAATCTCAAGGGATTTACACCGTTGAGCCACCAGCAGATAGAAGCGGAAACAAAAAGGCCACTCAGCCTGTTCGAGTACTATCAGTGGAAGGTCTTCGAAAGGCTCTAAGGTTGGAAACACTCAACAAGTGTTTTACTTTTTACATAACGAACAGAATCCGCTTTTCAGATTCTAAAGTCAATTGTGATTACGCAGTGGCGCGGATAAAGTGACCCCTAACGTACACTCACAAGGAATACGTTTCCTGAATGAGATGGCCAGTATGCTTCTTCCTTCTCATTTACACAATACAAATTAAAGTTTATAAAGTGAAATGTGACTGATCTTGGAGTTACAGGACAAAAGGCTTCAAAGAACGTAAACAAGAAATCTGAAGCTGTGAATAAGTCTACAGAGAAGAGGTATCATCTTCTTGAGTTGTTACTTTTTTGAGTTGTGCTAATGTAAAAATGTTATCTCAAAGGATATGTTCTGGAATTTCTTCTTCAGGAAAGTATCGACAAAAGAAACACAAGTAAAGGGTGAGCCAAAGAGAAAGAAAACAGAGCACAGGAGGGAAACGCCTGAGAAAATGATGGTCCTAGATTTCTGCAGCTCTGACGAAGAATGACTCCTCAACAGACAGACATTGTCAAACAGGTACTCAGGCCATAGACTTCGACTTGAACCGGATAATATCCCAATTGTGGGGCTTTAGCCGAATGTAGAGCACCTCAATGTTTATTCGATGTTGAGATAGATTTTTGTGGTTCTCAAGATTAGTCTTGAAACCGGCAAAACAAATATCAATCACGCAAAAAAACCTTTCATTTTAACCAAAATATATAGATTTGACACATTTGTTTAACGCATCAAGCAGTACTATATATATATATATATATATATATTGACATTGTTGAGAACCTATAACATTAGCATTGTTGCTGGCACTGCAACAGGTTTATTCTCTAATCATCTGAATAGTAGTGCTGTTGGAACTGCATTCCTTGCAGACATAACTAAATTGGACCATATAAAAAAAACTCTCCCATTCCTATATCAAATAACATATGATTTATAAAAATTAACTTAATTGGATGACAAGATAAATAATGAACAAAACAAAAAAAACAAGCAACAATTAACAAAACAAGGAGAATCTAGTTCTCAAATCAACTTAATAAAAACTTCAAGAAAAATTAGAAACAATAGAATCCAACGAATAACTAGTTGTGATTGAGATACATGAGAGGGAGGGAGGTAAGATAGTCGAAGTTGTCCTCCTCCCATTGCTGGATCCCTGCCTCCACCAACTCCACAGTCGCACGTGAGAGCTCCTCGGCAGCAATCTCTGCCTCCATCGCCATTCGCCGCACTTGCTCCCTCAGCTCAGCAAATCCCTCAACGTCTTCTCCTCTTATCACCCGTCTATTTTTTTGGTCGATAAGGTAGGTCTCGTGGGCCTTGGCTTCTTTGATGGTTTCTTGGACGGCAAGGTAGGTCTCACGGAGTTGATCGGCCACAGATTTGACATCTTTGTTAAGATCTTGCCTCGAAGCTTTGATATCCTCATCGACTTTAGATCTCAACTCATGTCGGAGCTCTTGCCAAATCTCGTCAACATTGAGACGCATGTTGTCTCTCAGAGTTCCAAGTTGTGAGCAGATCATACCATCCAATTTCGTCATCATCTTCTTCCCATCTTTGCTCAACTCATCAATAAAATCTCCCCACTCTTTTCTATGGGTTTCAAGACCTGAGTGGATCATGTTCTCCATAAATGTCATCATCTGCTTCCCATCTTCCACTAACTCCTTCATCTTCTCCACTTCCTTGCACACATCACCTTCATCTCAAAGTTAATCCTACATTAGCATAAAACAAGAAACGATACAAAAAACAATAGCTAGCCCGGTTTATATAATTACTGGGAGTCTCATCATTCTTAGACTGAGGTGGAGGAGGGGGGTACAGCTTGATGAGATCTAAGGTAATGCTCGGCGATGTAAACGGAGTGGATCAAGACGGAGAGGAAAACGGTGAGACGCCAAAGGAATGTGAGCTCAATGCCTTCAGCCAATAGTTTATAATACTCAAAGGCTAAGTAAAACGTAGAGCGGTCCAATATAAACAGCCAAATTCTTCCAATACCCTAATCAGACAATGAAACAGATCAACATGTCAAGTTAGGTTATTGTTTTCCCCATACAACATCTGAGAAGAGATATACTTACAGATGGTCCAACTGAAGAGAGATTAGGGCAAAAGAAGAAGAATGGTAATGCGAAAAGAGTAGTGGAGAGAATGATAGGGATGATAAGATCCACGAGGTATGTGGGGAAGATGACAAGTAGAAACAGAAACAAACGCTCTGTCCAAAACAATCCATTTGCTTGTAGTCTCCTCTCTTTTTCTTCTTCTTCAACCATATTCATCTTCATCTTCTTCGAAATACTTTGTTTGTTCTTGCTATGTTTGTGGGTTTATAAAATATACATATATTATAAGAATCAAGTTGGAAGATTTTATAAGAATCCTACCTAACTCTATTCCTATAAAGTTGGGATTTTTATTTGAATTTTAGGTTTTGGGTTTCTTCTAATAACAAATTTTGATAATATATCAAAGTTTTCCAAAACAAACCGTTTACAAACGCTTATTTTGCGGGTAACAAGATGAACAAAAGAATATTCGGACTAATTGGTTGGTCACAAGATGCCTTGAAGAAGGGGTTTTCCCTGAAACTTGTCGACCTTAGAGCTCAGAAATGTGAAGCTTTTGTGGAGACGAGCTCTTTTCATATCAAGATCCCCTAACTTCGCAGCCATCTCCGTCATTCTAGCTCTCCACTCCTTCATCTTCTTCTCCTTCTCTCCCAGTTCTTTCACCTGTTTCTCCGCTTCTTGTCTCGCAAGTAACACATCTCTCTCCCACACCTCTTTCTTCATTATGCTCATCTTGTGTTCATCGTAGTGTTTTACCGCCTCTACGATCTCCTCTAGGACAGGCTTGAGCCAACCTGCTTTGATTTTCACAGACTCAACGTCTCTAACAATTGCTACCATTTCCACCACGCGGCTCTCCTTGAGATACTTCAGGGGTGTTGTCTGGAGTTCGAATACCACCGAGGCAAGCATGTCGAGGTAGTAGGATCGTGTGGCAAGTGATTGTAGTTTGGAACCGGACGCGATGTCACCGTGCTTCTGGAGTATGTGTTGTAGAGTGGCCGAGACGCCAGCTCTCACTTTGTAGTCTCCCACAGAAACGTAAGACTCCGATAGAATGGACTGCATCTCGTCCCTTGTTTCATTCTTGGTAATTATTCCTTTCATACGAGAGATCTCTACGAGACTGAAGCTCTGTGATTCATCTGGCAGCTCCGGTGGCTCGTTGTTTGCTTTAACTTGTTCCTCTTGTTCGCTGCTTCCAGATTTCGATGTGGTTTCAGGGTAAAACGAAACAGTGTGTTCGTCATGATCATCCACAAATGAAAATTTATCGTCGTCTGTGCTTGCAGAATCATCCATTTCATCACAATGTTCTTCCTGTTTGTTAGGTGGTTCATATCCTCGGTGATTAAGCTGAGGTAAGAGGCAAAAACTGTCATTAGCATGTGCAGAAATATATATATATATATATATATATATATCTATAAGTGTGAAGGTAGAGAGTAGAGAGCAGTACCGTAATAAGTCTAGAGGGTGGCCTTTCTTGAGGTGACAAAATCAGTTCTGGAAAGAGTAGAACTGATTCATCGTCCTTCTCAATGTACACTGACTCAGCTTTGCTCTCAAGATAATTGTAGGCATGAGATGATCTTTGATCCATCTCAAAGGATGTTTGTTGAGTTTGTGAGATTTTTTCCCTGTGATCAGGTGACCTTCCTCCATAGACTGCAGTCTTTGGCCTACTTTCATGTATTCTTGGCTTCGTTTGCACAGTCCTGGGCTGGTGTTCTGGCGTCCTTGGCCTAGTTTCAACTGTCCGAGGCATTTGAAGAGCGGCGTTGTCAAGAGATCTGTGGGATATGGGCTGAGTTTGGGGAATCCTAGGGCTGGGTTCTGGCGTCTTGGACCGCAGTTTTGGAGTCCTTGAGGATGGTTCAAAGTAGGTAGGTTGAGGCTCAGGGGTCTTGGACCTTGGTCCGGGGGATCTTTCCATGAACTCAGGTGACCTCCCTCTGTGTTGTGCAGTCCTCGGCCTAGTTTCTGGTGTTTGAGGCCTCCTTCCTGTTGCAGCAGACTCATGTATGGGTGTCCTCGGTCTAGTGTCAGAGGTGGCATATCGGTGTTCAGGAGTCCTCGGCCTAGTTTCTGGTGTTTGGGGCCTCCTTCCTCTTGCAGCAGACTCATGTATGGGTGTCCTCGGCCTAGTATCAGAGGTGGCATATCGGTGATCAGGTGTCCTCGGTCTAGTTTCTGGTGTTTGAGGTCTTCTTCCTGTTGCCGCATACTCATGTATGGGTGTCCTTGGCCTAGTATCAGAGGTATTGGATTGGCGTTCAGGAGTCCTCGGCCTAGTTTCTAGTAAAACATGGTCCTCTTGGTGTGCAGAGCGATGTTGCGGTGTGCGTGGCCTATGCTGAGGCGTCCTAAGAGGGTGTTCAGGGGTCTTAGGCTGAGTTCCAAAAGGCCTTGGTGATACATCATCATCCTCATCTCCACGCTGATCAGTCTGGCATAAATAAATACCAACAAATGAGTGAGTTTCAACATTTATAGAAACAAAAGAGAGAGAGAGACTTTAGCTATTCTTGATATAAGAACTAATCCTTACCCTCCTTGCAAAGTAGTCTCCCCCTGAATATAGAGCAAGAGAAGGCGAGACTGGTAGCGAATTGACATTGCTTGAAGGCTCGATCTTGCGTCCTTGTAGCGGGGAAAGGCGACTTAAGAAGTTGCCATTGGTGTGATCATTGGAGGATGGTGAACTCTCTGATGACTCAACCTTCTTCTTGGCGAAATAGCTGGCCAGAGGTGATCTGCTTCCATGAGCCGGACTGCCTGGAGGAGTCTGATCCCTGCTTGGAGTTCTCTTACCAAACCCTGACGCAAAACAAAAACATCTGTTAATCAGAGACTCTTCTTGACCCAATTACTACCAATATAACAGAATCAGAAGCATTTATTCATACCAAAGAGTTTCTTCTCCTTCTTGTGGACATCTGGAGAGTTTAATCTCTCAAAACAGATAGCAGTACACTCATGGAAAGGATTGCCTGCGTTGGAGCAACCTGGAACTACTTTTCCAGACACTAAGTCCATCTCACAAACTTAAACCAAACTCTATAATAAGATCTCAAACCTGAGAATACAAAACCAAAGAAATAAAAGAGTCAGATCCATTGACTTACCAAAGAAGTAGATATCACCACACAAGAAGAGAGTCAACGGTTATATATGGAAATCACAATAAATGATTCATGTTTTCTCTTTGCTTAATCATGTTTCTACAGAGACAGAATTGACCATCTTCTATTGGTTTTCTTTAGTTAGAACACAAAGTGGAGTCAAACATGAGACAATAAATAATAGTACTAATACAATGAATTGTGATGTTGATAAATTGCAAAAAAACTCACATATCAGCCTAATAAAAGCTTTTGGTAGATAGAAATGGTAGAAGAGAGAATAGAGATTGAAGATACCTGTGAAAATATTATTGAGGAAGAAGAAGACGGTTGAAGAAATGAATGATTTATTTTATCTCCTCTGTATGTATATAGAGAGATAGAGCCAATGAAGAGAGATAGAGCCAATGAAGCTCTTATATGTGTGTCTATATAATAATATCTTATTGAGTTCTAGTATTATTCTGTAATTGGTTGACTTTGACCGCAATAAAAAAAATAAATCATTGATGAGCTAAAAGACTTCGTCAATTGGCTATTTCTTTTTCTTTTATTTTATTTCTTGTCAAAGTAAGAATGGATCGAAGAGGTTTCAGTCTTAAGCAATGCAAATAATCAAAGATTGAACAAATTCAAGATCTCTAACTTCACTGTGTTCCCACTCCATTATCATTTGCTTCCTTCTTTTTTCTAGTATTTTATAATTTCATTTTGTTATATTTAAATGCTCTATTTGACAAGTTTTAATTGAAAAATATATTATCATTTATTAAATTCATGTAGGAAATTTTAAGATATATTTTGTAAACAGGGAAAACTATTGTACGCGCTTTAATACTCTTTTTTTGAACCAAGCCAATTTTTTCATCCTTAATGTATCTATTGTTGACTAAATTAGTTAATGATTTAAAATCATATATATGAAAGTTGGCCAACTCTCTCCATATGAGTGAAACATCATCACTTTAGCATTTGACATGTGTCCACTAATAATTAATGTAAGTTAGTGGAACATATATTATTTAATTATACATATTATAAAAATTAACCTATTTAATTATATTAATACTAATTATATTTAATTATTATTTCTTTTTTCTTCAATATAATTATTTTTTTGGGGTTTCTCATACTCCAGAATTTTTTGAGTAGGTTATTCTCTTAAAAACTTTTCTATATAATATATTAAAAAATAGTGAGGAGAACGTTAGAACCTCTAACATCATGGTATTTAATTGTATCAAGGTTTGGTTCTATTTGTTTATTTGCTATAAACTAATAACATCGTTGTTCAAACGAAATGACAGCCCAATTATCAATGCTTAACATTTGTACCTAAATACCATGATCATTGATTTTAGTGCAGGTATTCCAATCTTCTTTGCATTTTGTCTTCTTCTTTTGGTTTAAGGATAACAGTAATGAAAGAATCTTATAAAAAGATAATGTGTAGTGAGAACAGTTTTTTATTAGGAATATAAATGTAAATACAAAAAAAAAATAGATTTATATGCTTAGTATCAGGATAATCTCGTTTATAAGGGAAATTTTGTCTTCTTTCCTATTAACAAAAACTAACCTAATGTTTACATTAATATACTTATAACTAGGTGATTGCCCGCGCAAATGCGCGGGAAGAATGTTGTATGAATGGTAAAATCATGTGAAATAAGGGATTGTTTAGGTGTTACTTGGTAGTGTAAGAAAATTATGGTAAATTGTTTAGGGTTTAGTGTGGTAAAAATATAGAAAATGATGAAATTTAAAAAATTCAATAATATTATAAATGCTAAGAAAATAATAATAAATCATCTTTTAAAAGCATTCACCAAGAAAATAAGAAATCAACGAACATCATCACTCCATGGCATTCTCCTTCCGTGTGATGATCGGTACTTGGTCATTTTCAGGATTCCTGACATCCGATTTAGAACACCATAAACAGTGAATGTTCAGTCGCCAACTTTAGAGTTTTGATTGTAAACGGAAAAAAAAATACTTACCAACAAAGCATCTCGTCGGTAATACTGAGATCCGGATTCAACATAATCCTCGTACTTCCGGTAACATTGGTACATCTCCACCTATGTTCCTGTGATAGCTCTAATTTCACAAACTTGATAATACATATCACTGTGTTACGTGAACAATGCTTCCATAAGTCATAGAACTCGACTGCAAGGTCACCCGTTAAACGACACTCTAGATGGATACACCTAATTTTAAGATTTGAAGAAGTCATAAGACTTTATATTCTGGTTTAAATCTTTAAAAAAATAGTGACTTACTCAGTATCACGTAAACCAAAGTACAGCTCAAAATATCCTCCTTGAGAATGTTCCACGGAAGGAACAAAAACCAACTATCTCACGTTGACAATTTTGCCAACAACATATATGAAACACACACATGAATAATACAGTCAGAACATGAATCGCAAATAAACTCCAAAAGCACAAATAAATTCATAAATTAGGCTTACCAACGCAAATATTCGGATTAACAATACCACTCAATATACTCACAAACTCAGTTAGATTGAAATAGGTTCTACTGGAGCACATATTAATACTTTGCACTAAAGTGTCCGAACGAAACACAATCTTGAATCTATGCGGTACTGGTCTCAATATGCTGTTAACCCGTGATACATCAAAATTTTTAATGCTCACCCACTCATCGATTATCAATCTTGAAAGATAATTATCAATTAATTCATCACGAACAACGGCTTGGATTTGGGTGAACTGCAAATAAAATGTTAAAGACAAAACCAATTCAATTTAATATCGAAAACATGTATAGAAGGTAAGTTATCAAAAAACTAACATGCTCGTCACCCAAAATCATATTGAGCTCTCTACCCGAGCCACGCGAAACAGACCAACAATTCAAAATCTTCACCGAGACAGACCACTCACCCATGTTAGGGTTAAGAGACACAATATGAAAATAACCACCATCACATGAATCAGAGGTAAAATGTATCATTGTAGAACCCATATCAAAAGATTATGCGGCTAAACAATCCAATGAGGTATAAACGCGCGATACGTATATGTAGACCTAACGATTATTTGGAAAGAACATAAAAATAGAAAATATATATTAAAAACTAAATCAGAAAATTAACAAAAACGAATATTGATTAAACGATATAGAATTTATCCATAAGATTAATAAATTAAGTTTAGAAAAAAAAAACTAAATCTCAACAGTTAAACTGAAATATATACTAACGAAATTTAAAGGTAAAAATATATCACTCTATTATCAACACCATAATAATAATATATACAAATGGTGTAAGTTATCGTGCATAAACGGTAAAATCATGAGAGATAAAAGAATATTATAAATGGTAAGAAAATAAGATGCCAATCATAAAAAAAAAAACAAAAAACAATAATTTCAAGACAATAAGAAAACAACGAACGTCATCATTTTATAGCATTCTCTTTGCATGTGACGATAGGTACTTCGTCGTTTTCAGAATTCCTGACACCCGGTTTATAACATCAGAATCAGTTAACGTTCCGGCGAAAATTTTAGAGTTTTGATTGTGGACGACAAAAAAAATAAAAAAGTAATTACCAACAAAGCATCTCATTGGTAATACTGAGATCCGGATTCAACATAATTATCAAAAACTCATCAATCAACAAATGATTTCTACATTTATCAAAAGCTCTTTCATTAGACTCCAGAAAATCGTTATTTTACTCATGTTTTTTGTTATCTTTGTTATAGCCAAACTCATCTTCAGTAGATGATTTATACGCTTATCAAGAACTCTTTCATCAGACTTCAGAAAAGCATCAACTTTGCTCCTTTTGTTTTTTTTTTTCTAATTATAGTTATAGCCAAAATCATAAATCAGAAAGTGATTATTACGTTTAATAACAATTCTTTCATATGGCTGCAAAAAACCGTAAATTTTGCTCATTTTTTTGTTATCATGGTTATAGCCAAACACATAAATCAACAAATAATTTCTATATTTATCAAGAAATCTTTCATTAGGTTATAGAAAAGTATCTATTTTGTTCTTTTTTATTGTTACAATTGTTATAGCCAGCAGAAAACCGTCAATTTTTTTTTTTGTTATCATGGCTATTGCCACAAACTCATCAATTAGCAAATGATTTCTCTGCGAATCAATAACTTTAACATCAGGCTGCAAAAAATCTTCAATTTTGATCATTTTTCGTTATAAAAGTCATACTAAAACTTTTTACTCAGCAAATTATTTTTACGTTTACCAAAAGCTCTTTCATTAGACTGCAGAAAACCGTCAATTTTTTCTTTTTTTTGTTATCATGGTAATAGCCAAACTCATCATCTGCAAAAGATTTATACGTTTATCAAAAGCTTTTTCATGAACCTGCAGAAAACTGTCACTTTTGCTCATTTTTTTCTTTATCATTGTTGTAACCAAACCCATCAATCAACAAATGATATCTAGGTTTATCAAGATGTCATTCATCGGACTACAGAAAGTCGTCGATTTGTCTCTCTTGTTTTTTTATTATGGTTATAGCCAAAATCATCAATGAACAAATCATTTTTATATTTACCAAGAGCTCTTTCATTACGTTACAAAAAACGTCAATTTCGCTCCCTTTTTTTTTGTTATCATGGTTATAGGCAAAGTCATCAATCAGCAAATTATTTTTACATTTATTGAAAGCTCTTTCATTAGGCTACAGAAAACTTCCAAGTTCGCTAATTTACCGTTATAATGGTTTTTGTAAAACTCTTCAATCAGCCAATAATTTTTACGTTTATCGAAATACCTTTCATCAGACTGCCAAAAATCGTCAACTTTGCTCTTTTTTGTTAGACTGGTTATAGCTAAACTCTTCAATCATCAAATGATTTCTACGTTTATCAAAGATCTCTTTCATCACACTGCGGAAAGCCGTCAATTTTGGTTTTTCATTTTTTGTGATCATAGATATAGCCAAACTCATCATCAATAAATGATTTCTACGTTTATCAAGAGCTTTTCATGAGCCTGCAGAAAACTGTCAATTTTGCTATTTTTTCGTTATTATTTTTATAGCCAAACTCATCAATCAACATATGATTTATACGTTAATCAAGATATCATTAATCGGACTGTAGAAAACTGTCAATTTTATTTCTCTTGTTTGTAATCATGGTTATAGCCAAACTCATTAACCGTCAATTTTGCTCATCTTGTTCTTTTTAATCATGATTATAGCCAAACACATATATCGGAAAATAATTTTTATGCTTATCAACATTTCTTCATGAGGCTGAAAGAAACCGTCAATTTTGTTCTCTTATTTTGTTATCATTGTTATAGTCAAACTCAT